TGAGCCTGGACGCGCGCGACCCGCTTCCATAAGTTAAAATGGCCACTGCGGCGCAACACAAACCGCTTCTTCTCTTATTTTGGTCGAAGTTTTCTCGCAGCTGCAGCCAAAGCTCACGTGCTTCCATTGGCTGCAGGCGCGCGCAGCTGGCGCCTCGTGCACGTTTCCATTGGCCCCTCAGCTGTCATTTAAGCGGAGCCCCCCATTGAACGTGGTCCCGGGGTTTGTCTGAGAGCGATTCCAGGCAGCGACCATTATGTACCGTACGCGCTGTCCTCCCTCCCCGGTGACGCGCACGCACACCGCCTTTTGTTTGTTGTGTACGTGCTCGTGTTGTTGCTCAGACCTGCAGGTGATCCTCATCCTGCACCGCTGGACCCTTCTGTGAAGGTTCTGTGGAGACAAAGGAGGGCTGTTCTCCTCTGCTAGGACAGCCAGCCTCACCTGGTGGAGACATCACACCTCTCTGCACTAAGACAACTGACCACATGTGCAGACTGCGAGAAGGAGGACCAGTGAGACCAGTTGGTACCCAACCTGAGTGGGAGACTACTGGTAGACAGACAGGTACACAAGAAGACTGCGAGACAGACAGGTTGACAAGAAGACTAAACAGGCAGACAGACTGGTAGACAGACAGGTGAACAAGAAGACTAAACAGGCAGACAGACTGGTAGACAGACAGGTGAACAAGAAGGCTGGTAAGAAGGTAGATGTTGGGAAAGCTTTAAATAATGTTTACACCTCAATATTACACAAAGTGTCTCTGAGAGACACTTTGTCTCTCAGAGACACTTTGTGTTCTGGTTCCACTGATATTCAAGATGTTTGTGAGTCAATGTCCAGATAATCTAGTGGTGCATGAGGTGGAGAAGATGCTGGTCTATCTCCACGGTGGATTACTGGTGGGTCTATTTTCCAGCTATATATTACTGTACCAGAGAAACATTCCTTCTTTTAGAGTATCATATGTTGTCCATTCTGTCTCCTACTTCAAGTGTCATTTAATAAATGTCCTGTTTACACTGGTGTCAAGTAACCTTTTTTTAACAGTAGAAGAATGCAGGTAGGTATCAATGCTAATGACACCAATAGCTGGTTCTAGAGGTATGATGTCATAAAGATGTTCAAAATAAAGCAAACTGAGATGGAAGTGCATTTAATCAGATCCTAGAAAGGTCAGCCAATATATTTCACAACTTTATGACTTTATGATGTGATTTGATGTGTGTCTGCTCTTATACTGTATGTATATATACACACACATGTATGTATGTTAATCATAATAAAGGCCTTCTGGGAAGAGCTGTGATTTCACCACATGGTCAAAGAAGGACAGTAACAGCGAGCTGAATATTGGCATGGTAACAGTGTGGATCATCAGCTGCTGTTTGTGTCCACAGAAGTACACTTAACCGAGGAGAGACGTCCCCATGACACACTCAGAACATGGCCATACGAGGGACACACGCAGACTCGTGGACACACGTGTCATCATCCGTCTAAGTAAAATGCTAGCATGTAGCTTCATGGCTCGGACTGACATTTTTACACGCAGTGCCTCTCTCCTCATTACGTATGCGCTCATTATGTATGCGTGGTCGCTGGTGGGCCCGAAACATTTGCTTCACTGAGAGTTCCCCTCACAGCTCCATCTAAGATGGACATGTTTGTGTTCACGTGTGCACGGGTCAGGCAGATAATTCAAGTTCACTATACATTCTAGTTCATCTAGATCAGAGATCTAGATCCTTATATGGGATCGCTCAAACGCTGTAAGCCCCGCCCCTCACTTATAATAACCCGATCAATAAAGTCTGAGTTGACATTCAGAGGTTCTGTTAGATTCTAACCAGACCAGGTTGAGGGATTTTCCTGTAGGACAGCTTACTGGACCATCATTCACCCGGAGGACCTGCAGCTGTTTTATGTGTGTTAGTGGAGGTAGAGTCTGAAGAGGTGTGTCTTTAGTCTGAAGATGTGAAGGCTCTCTGTGGTCCTGATGTCTTCAGAGACCTCCTTCCATCATTTAGGAGCAGGACAGCAAAGAGTGGAGATCTAGTGGAGTGTTTTGCTCTCAGTGAGGAGGAACAAGCAGTTTATCACATGCAGAGCGGAGAGTGCGGGTCGGGGTGTCGGGTTGGACCAGGTCCTGGATGGAAGCTGGACCCCATCCATTCACAGCATGGTACGTGAGCACCATGTTTAGAACTGGATGAGCCACCGGTACCAGTGAAGAGAGCGGAGGAGTGGAGGAGTGTGGGAGAACTTAGGAAGGTTAAAGACCAGTGGAGCTGCTGCATTGTGGATGAGCTGCAGAGGTGGAATGGTGGTAGCAGGAGACCTGCAGGAGAGAGTTACAGTAGTCCAGGAGGGAGATGACAAGAGCCTGAATCAGTACCTACTTCTGAGTGAGAAGAGGACGTGTTCTGATGTTGTAGAGCGAGTATCTACAGGATCGTGCTGTCAGTGATGTTGGAGTCAGGGAGAGTCGGCTGTCGATGTCACGCCGAGGTTCCTGCAGTCAAAGTGGGCGTTAACACGGAGTCGCCAGTCAGGTTCTGTGTTGGAGAACCTTTTCCCGGAAAGAGAAGTAGTTCAGTGTTGTCGGGGTTGATCTTCAGATGGTGAGCGGATATCGTCACCTGGAGGACCTTCAGCTCACCTGTCATTACTAACAAGAGACATTTGTTTTCAAATGCTGGTACAATAAAAGATGCACATGTAAAGTGATAATATAAATATATATTGTTATTTTTCTTAACAGAGTTCAGTTATCTAAATCAGATTTGATAACTGGCAGAGTTTCTCATCAGCTGCAGCTCGTCCCCTCCTCCTCGCCGCCGTCCGGTCCACAGCTGTTGTCGTGGTAACTGATGCTGACACTGTGATACGTTTGCAGCAGAACAAAATGAAGAAACAACATGCTGCAGTGTGTAAACATCTGTTTTTATCATTATTAATAATGTATAATAAAGTTGTTATTATTATTTCATCATGAATATAAGTCATGTTAATATTTTCACTAAAACACCTCTCACATCTGGAGGATGCACATCCTGATGTTACACCTCCAGATGTTACACCTGCTGCTTCACCCAATAGCAGCTCTCTGACAGCAGAGGGCCTCATGGAGTCCCGCCCTCCCCCCCCCTCCCTCATACAGCCCCCCCCCCATTCAAACATATATAAACGCCAACTGCGTTTTAGAGACTTTCATGAAGACACAGACACACTCGGCTGTTACAGAGGGTGTGCTGAGGGAGTGGAAGCTTCCAGATACTCAAGATGTTTCTTATCTCTGCCTGCCATGTGTGTGTGTCTGTGTGTGTGTCTGTGTGTGTGTGGACTTATGAATGGATGCCAGCTGACATACATATGAGTATTTCTGTAGCAGCTGAGTGTGTCTGTGTGTGCGTCTCTTTCTATTGCAGCAGATTCTTCATATGAAAAAAACACTAAGCTTAGATTATATATATTACATCATATTATAATATGTATATTAAATGATAATGTTATATTTGATCACATTTGATTTTATTATCAAATAATGTTATATTATTGTATTACAAATTATATCATAATGTATGTAATGTATCATATTATCTTGTATAACTAATCAATAATTGTTGTCCCTTGCGTGTCTTTTCACACCTGTTTACGAGAGAACGGATCAGATTGAAGAGCTTTTAAATATGAGCGCTTGTACAAGCCGTCATTGGCGGACTATGAGGACGCCGGACGGCCTCTGATTCATGGAGGCAGATCTCCACCAACGAGGGGGACAAAGTCGTGGAGGAAAATACAGGACAAATGTGTCCGTGATGGAAAGCAGCAGTGTGGATGCACGGGGCAATAAAGTCTATGATACATAAATAAAGCAACCAGCGACTTCCACACACAAAGACGTGACTCTCCAGGTCGTCTTCTACAAAACACGTGACTCCACCTGTTGTTCTGGAGGTGAATCGCTCTGCAACACACGCAGGACTTTACAACCAGGAAGTGAGACGAGTCCAAACGTTGCAGAAGCATGTCGCCGCCTTGAGGACGCTTCTTTCTCCTTGTGTTGGTTTTTTCCACAGTTCTCCAGCACGCAAGCGTGTGTAGCTAGTGGGCTGCTTCAATGCTGCGTTACGCTTTAAGTGGTACTTCAGGCTCCTAGTTCTTTATGCTCGTAGTACTTCAGGCTCGTAGTACTTCAGGCTCGTAGTACTTTATGCTCGTAGTACTCCAGGCTTGTAGTACTTCAGGCTTGTAGTACTTTTATGCTCGTAGTACTTTATGCTCGTAGTACTTCAGGCTCGTAGTACTTCAGGCTCGTAGTACTCCCAGGCACATGTTTAGGTGTCCACATGCTTTGTGTTGTATGCTTACATGCAGCGGAAGCAGAAGTTGGGGTGGTGTCCAGTAAACAATGTGACGGCATCCACCCACTTTGGATGGAGGACTCGGACCCAGTTTCTCAGCGGAACGTTTCCATGACGACCCAGAGTTCAGACCAGGAAGCAGAGGTGCAGTCTCACATTCTTCTCCCTCTGAGTCTTCATGAGTCTGAGTAAGAAAGGACCCAACGACACTAACATGTCACTCATGACCGACTCCGGTCTCCGGTTGGTCCCGTGTTGCTGTTCCTTTGGTCATGGTTGCTGTGTTTACAGGCTAACAAACATCTCCACACATAAGAGGACGTGACTCCCTCAGGGTGAACAAGGAGACACAAGGGACTTATCTAGGAAAGCTTCCTGGAAGGAGAGAATGAAAATGACAGATGAGCTGATGGTAGCAGGAGATGGAGGAGGACGCGGACACGCAGGGGGAGGAGGAAGAGGAGGAGGAGCAGCTCCTAACTAAACTACAGTAACTTCACTGAGAAGTGCTGGAAGACGGAGGAGGAGAAAGGAAGGATGGAGGAAGGAAAGAGGGAGGAAGGAAGGGGGGAGAAAGAGGAGGAGGAGAAAAGAAAGGAGGAGGAAGGAAGGTGGAGGATGGAAGGAGGAGAAAGGAAGGAGGAGGATGAGAAGGAAAATAAAGACACAGTAATGCAGAGAGAGGAGGACGTGTTTCTATTGAAGCTGCTGCAAGACGGAACGCTATCAGGGTGAAGCAGCTGCTACACACACACACACACACTCACACACACACACTCACACACACACACTCACACACACACTCACACACACTCACACACACACACTCTGAGCGTTGGACATGAGGCCGTCTGGGGAGGAGGACTCGGTGAAGTGACCTCTGGGTACAAGCGGCTCTTCATCCAGTCGGGTGAGTTTAATAAATCATTCAATTCTTCGGTGGTTCTGATATAAGAGAGTGTGGTCCTCGCTTGTTCTGCTTCTGGGTTCATGTGTGTCAGAAACAAGTAAGTTGTGAAGTGAATTCTGTCTTTATAATAACACAAACGAGGTTATTACATTTATCATGTATCATGTGTCTGTGTGGACAGAAAAGTCAGATAATATATCGTATAATATTATAGTTGTATTATTGCTGCTGTGTAGCATCACTTATTCTCTCCTTCTTTATCTTAACGTCCACAAAGACAAACAGCTGAGACTTTGTCTCATATTACGTTTTCATCACTTCTCAAGGAGGTGAAGGTGCTGAGTTCTAAACGTCACGTTAAAGCTGCATTCCATCTGGTGACCACCTCAGGTCCTATAGAAGCCCCCCGGCCACAGCGAGCGGGTGGGGCTCAACATGTCAGCGCGTCCTCCACATGAGGCGCAGTGAGGTTCAGACTATATAACCTATAACCTCCAGAAGAGCACGCACACACACACTGGTGTGTCTGTGTGGAAACATGCTCCTATTTCATCGCATAGTGTGTTTCTCTGTTTATGTTTTTATGTACCCCTCTCTGCTCTTCCCCCACCCCTCGGGGCTCTTCCCCCACCCCTCTCTGGGCTCTTCCCCCACCCCTCTCTGCTCTTCCCCCACCCCTCGGGGCTCTTCCCCCACCCCTCTCTGGGCTCTTCCCCCACCCCTCTCTGCTCTTCCCCCACCCCTCTCTGCTCTTCCCCCACCCCTCGGGGCTCTTCCCCCACCCCTCTCTGCTCTTCCCCCACCCCTCTGGACTCTTCCCCCACCCCTCTGGGCTATTCCCCCACCCCTCTCTGCTCTTCCCCCACCCCTCTGGACTCTTCCCCCACCCCTCTCTGGGCTCTTCCCCCACCCCTCCTCTGCTCTTCCCCCACCCCTCTGGACACTTCCCCCACCCCTCGGGGCTCTTCCCCCACCCCTTTGGGCTCTTCCCCCACCCCTCTCTGCTCTTCCCCCACCCCTCTGGACTCTTCCCCCACCCCTCTCTGCTCTTCCCCCACCCCTCTCGACCCTTCCCCCACCCCTCTCTGGACTCTTCCCCCACCCCTCTCTGCTCTTCCCCCACCCCTCTGGACCCTTCCCTCACCCCTCTCTGCTCTTCCCCCACCCCCTCTCTGCTCTTCCCCCACCCCTCTGGACTCTTCCCCCACCCCTCTCTGCTCTTCCCCCACCCCTCTCGACCCTTCCCCCACCCCTCTCTGGACTCTTCCCCCACCCCTCTCTGCTCTTCCACCACCCCTCTGGACCCTTCCCCCACCCCTCTCTGCTCTTCCCCCACCCCTCTCTGCTCTTCCCCCACCCCTCTGGACCCTTCCCCCACCCCTCTCTGCTCTTCCCCCACCCCTCTCTGGACTCTTCCCCCACCCCTCTCTGGACTCTTCCCCCACCCCTCTCTGCTCTTCCCCCACCCCTCTCTGGACCCTTCCCCCACCCCTCTCTGCTCTTCCCCCACCCCTCTGGGCTCTTCCCCCACCCCTCTCTGCTCTTCCACCACCCCTCTGGGCTCTTCCCCCACCCCTCTCTGGACTCTTAACCCACCCCCCTCTGGATCTCACATCCCCCGTGATCAGCACTAGATTACTTGTGGGATTGTAGCCCATTTCCAAGTCAACAGAATTGATGAAATACAGTTCATGTATTTGAACAAATGGTTCCATGAGTCATCCGATCAATCCCATCGATCAAATCCATCACAGAAACATTTTTAGAGTCCAGTTCAACACCATCTCTACTCACGCTAGCTCTTTTGGGAGGGGTCAGAGGTCACAGATGACTCATGTCCCAGGGGGCTGAAACTATGCTGTTTAAGATGGAGGCTCACACACACACACATACACACAAAGGCTCACACACACACACAGACACACACACACACACACACACACACACACACACACGCTCACATTTGATGAGTTTTTCAGCTGTGGCTTCGAGGACAACACGTTAGATTTATGCAAGTAAACAATTCATATCTGCATCCACAGTGCAGCAATGTGACCACTGTGGTCTACGGGTGTTTTCATGGTATGTTAGAGGAGAGCCCCCCGACCCCCGACCCCCGACCCCCCGACCCCTGACCCCCCCCACGCTGCGCAGCGATATCCAGGTTCCTCTCTGTGTTCATTCAAACCAGAGCAGGAATTAAGAGACTCTGAAGTAACTTGAACATGTGGGTTCATAAGCACGCACACACACACACACACACACACACACACACACGCACGCACGCACGCACACACACACATAAACATAATCACAGGATCAGGATTACCTTCATACAAATAAACAGCTTGATGTGGAATGAGGAATTAGATCCACATGTTTATGTTTACCAGAACAACTCGGAAGAGGGGGAGGAAGAGGGGGAGGAAGAGGGGGAGGGAGAGGGGGAGGAAGAGGGGGAGGAAGAGGGGGAGGAAGAGGGAGAGGAAGAGGGGGAGGAAGAGGGAGAAGAAGAGGGGGAGGAAGAGGGGGAGGAAGAGGGGGAGGAAGAGGGAGAAGAAGAGGGGGAGGAAGAGGGGGAGGGAGAGGGGGAGGAAGAGGGGGAGGAAGAGGGGGAGGAAGAGGGAGAAGAAGAGGGGGAGGAAGAGGGGGAGGAAGAGGGAGAAGAAGAGGGGGAGGAAGAGGGAGAAGAAGAGGGAGAGGAAAGGGGAGAAGAAAAGGGGAGAAGAAAAGGGGTGGACAGAGAGGTGCAGGGAGAGGGAAAGAAGGAGGAGGAGGGAGAGGTGGTGGAGGAGGGGGGCACTTATAGTGGTGCTACCTGGTGCAGGTGTAGAGGCACAGGTGCTATGAGGGTGGAGGCGTGGGTGATGTTGAGGGAGAGTAGTCTGCGTAGCGGAGTGAGCGGGTAGGGGTGTACGGCCAGACCAGGTCCTGGATGTAGACTGGACCTGGTCTTTTGGCGGCACCGGACGCACGTTTTTCAACGTCATCTGAGTCGAAGTGGGAACAGACAACAGCTGGTAACAGACTTTGTGACATCAGTCACACGACAACAAACAAAAGGGTCTTTTCAACGCTTGACTTCAACGTTGGTAGAAGAAGAAGATTCTGGTTGTTAAAAAGTTGTAGAATATTTGAGTGTCCCAGATAAATAATGGAAATAAATCCCCTCTCTCCAGGATGTCGGTGAAGCTGCGATTCGACTCTCCATCTGACGGACGGCTGGTCCACAGGAGCCGCTCCTTCACTGGGGTCAGCTCTCTGACTGGACGACAGCGGTGAGTGACAGCCCCGACAGCCAATGACACACAAGAGACAAGATTAGTCTCTCAAGAGCAGTCGGTAGATTTGTACTTTACACCGGAGTCATTTCTGAATGAAGAAATGAGTGACAGGTGTAACCACAAGGAGGAACTACATGTCAACAAAGACAACACACAAACACACACACACACACACACACACAGGGACAGCAAACATCACACAGCGTGAAGACCCGCTCCAATTACAGGACGTCTGCTAAAGCTGAGAGGAATGTGGCCAATAAAACAGTGCATGGATGTGTGTGTGTGTGTGTGTGTGTGTCTGTGTGTGTGTGTGTGTGTGTGTGTGTGTGTCTGTGTGTGTGTCTGTCTGTGTGTGTGTGTGTGTCTGTGTGTGTGTGTGTGTGTGTGTCTGTCTGTGTGTGTGTGTGTGTGTGTGTGTGTGTGTGTGTCTGTGTGTGTGTGTGTGTTGTGTGTGTCTGTGTGTGTCTGTGTGTGTGTGTGTGTGTGTGTGTGTGTCTGTGTGTGTGTGTGTGTGTGTGTGTGTGTGTGTGTGTGTGTGTGTGTGTGTGTGTGTGTGTGTGTCTGTGTGTGTGTGTGTGTGTGTGTGTGTGTGTCTGTGTGTGTGTGTCTGTGTGTGTGTGTCTGTGTGTGTGTGTGTGTGTGTGTCTGTCTGTGTGTGTGTCTGTGTGTGTGTGTGTGTGTGTGTCTGTGTGTGTGTGTGTGTGTGTGTGTGTGTCTGTGTGTGTGTGTGTGTGTGTGTCTGTGTGTGTGTGTCTGTGTGTGTGTCTGTGTGTGTGTGTGTGTGTGTGTCTGTGTGTGTGTGTGTGTGTCTGTGTGTGTGTGTGTGTGTGTGTGTGTGCGTGTGTGTGTGTGTGTGTGTCTGTGTCCGTGTGTGTGGATAATCTGGGTCTTTGTGTACATTTTTTGTGTTCAGGCCGTGTGTTCGTAACTCTCTCCACTTCAAAGCCACGACGGGAGGTAAATCTCCCAGAATGCACCTGTCTGCTGGTACAGGGGTCGGGGCTATTTGGTCCCTGCAGCCGGAGCAGGTGGACCGGGTCTTCAAAGCGCTACGCAAAGGACTCAAGTATGTGGACTCAAAAGACTGTTTTATTTCTAACCGGCCCAGAAGGGTTGGAGACATTAGAACGAGGTTTGATGTGAGAAACGGACACGTGTGTGGAAGGAAACGGACACGTGTGGTCGGGCCACACGATCAGAGCAAATATCACAAAACCAGATCACAGAGCGGGCACCAACCAATAAACATCTAGACGCAGAAGATGTACAGCGGGCGAGACTCGAATAAGCATCAGAAACACAACCAAGTGGAGAGGGCGCAAGTGTACAGGAAGTGACAAAATAAAACAGGAAACACGCTCCACAAATGTCTGGTGCAACACACTGAAGCTGGTTTCTCTCCAAACAAAGCTCTGAAGCTCTGCATGAGCTTCAGAGAGTAACACATGTAGGAGAAATGATGAAGAGTCTCCGAGTTAATGAATGAACCCCGTCTGCAGAGAACATCTGGAGGGTCACCAGGCTGAGATGGACTTCCTGTCCTCACAGCAGAGGACAACCAGGAGGAACTCCAGACTGGTGAGGAGAAGGATGAGGATGGTGATGAAGATGTTGATGAGGAGGAGGATGATAATGTTGTATTTTCATCTTTTTCCAGGCCTTTCTATATGATCTAGAGAAGGTAATTCCTTTCTTAATATTATATATGTGAATGTTATATTCCTCAGGAGATCCAAGGACATAAGATGAGAATAACGTATACCATAGGAGATCAGAACCAAGGAGAGATACATAAGGAGACTTGAGTTTCAGATCAGTAAGGTAAATCCTTTCATCTCTGGAGCTTTAGCTGATGGACCTGTAGTCGTAGTAACGATTGGCTGTAGAGAGGTGAAGCAGCAGGATGAACTGTGCTGACGGAGGTGTGGTGGTGTCTGTAGGTGGAAGAGCTATACGAGACCTATTGGGTCCAATGGAGACTCTATGAGGGGGCGGGGAACATGAAGAGGGCCTTCAGCCGGTCTCCGTCCTCCAGAGCCTCCAGGGACAGCCTGCTGGAGCTCAGCCGGAGCCAGCGCCTCAGTGTGCAGGTAGAGGTCACGGTGTAGATATGTAGACATGTGTGTATACATGTATGTGTGTGTGTAGCTCACGTAAAGGATTGTGCGTAGGAACATCCTAGTGTTGACTTTGTTCTCTGCAGGAGATGTCAGTGATGGAGGAAGAGTCAGAGATCCTCCTGGGAGAGCTGCGCATCAAGATGAAGGGTACACACACGTGCACACATAGACACTTTCACACCATGATTCCTCACTAATAACACACTTTTCAAATGAAATGAAGACACAGTGCAAAGTGATGGACCAAAGATAACATTTATCAAGTACTGCTGCTCTCTGCTGATTGGTCTTGAAGGTCTTGAAGTTCTTGAAGGTTCTGAAGGACCTCTTGTTTTTTACAGTGTCTTTTTCTCCATCACAAAGGTTCCCTTCAGGCTTCTTTTCATTTCATGAGCACACATTTATTATACAGTTATTTTATCTTCTTCCTCTTGATGAAATACAGTCGAATGAACATAGATGTAATGAGAGGATATGAACGTGCATTGTGTTGTTATATAAATGTTGTTATTTATCCTACATGGGACGCAACCTAAAGGTCTGATCGGCTTCGCTCGGCTTTGCCCCGGAGACCAGTACGAGGTGAGAAACATCTTCCTCATCATCCTCATCACTGAGAAGAGTCAGAGGTGGGGAGCAGCTGATTGGCTGGTGATGGTGTCACATGACTAGGTGGCGGTGCGCCTGGGCCAACGGCGCTGGAGGATCCGAGGGAGGATCCAGTCTGACAACACGCAGGCCTGGGACGAGGAGGAGGTGGTCTTCCTCCCCCACATACGCCACAACTTTGAGATCAAGGTGACACACACACAATACCCACAATGTCAAGTCAAACTACAACACCCAGAATGCACTGGGTTCATCCAGCTGCAGGAAGCTAGATGGGAACATGTATGACACACAGCTGGTGGTCCGAGGTACTTGTACTTTATCTAAGAACTTCCATTGGAGGAGAATAATGTTCTCGCTACATTCTGAAGTATCATCATGTTAATTATCTGCTGTTTACTGGGAGATTCATACTGTAGTTATTAATAATGTTTACTACTGCAGAGTGAGTAATCCAATTTGTATACTTTTCGTAATAGTAGTAGTATTTATACTGTGGTCTCTCCAGTAAAACCCTCTTTGCTCCTGGTGTCAGCTGACCTGCTGTTTACTCCAAGGTGACGGAGGCGAAGGGTTTGGGTTGGCTGCTGGTCGGCATGGTAACGTGTGCCAGCACAGAATTCTTTGTGGCGAGGCCGCAGCTGATGATGGTGGACGTGACGGAGCTGGGAACCATCAAGCTGCAGCTGGAGGTCACCTGGAAGTACGCACACACACACAGAGGACAGAGGACACATGATGATGAATCGGCTCGGTGCCCACAGAGGACATTTACATCTGTAATGTCAAATATGAGAAGTGAGGAAGTGGGTTCTGATTGGACTACAGTCATGTGACAACCTGGTAACCTGGTAACCTGTTACGGGTTCTATAGAAAAACGTGAGACAGAACTAAAGAACATTTAGATAAATACTAATAAATGTCTTTATTAGTATCTGAAAACCGGTGTGTACTTGTACTTATAGATGTGTCTGAAGCGTGTACTTGTACCTGTCGATGTGTCTGAAGCGTGTACTTGTACCTGTCGATGTGTCTGAAGCGTGTGCTTGTACCTGTCGATGTGTCTGAAGCGTGTGCTTGTACCTGTCGATGTGTCTGAAGCGTGTACTTGTACCTGTCGATGTGTCTGAAGCGTGTACTTGTACCTGTCGATGTGTCTGAAGCGTGTACTTGTACCTGTCGATGTGTCTGAAGCGTGTACTTGTACCTGTCGATGTGTCTGAAGCGTGTACTTGTACCTGGGAGTCCTTTTGACTCTGAGAAGATGAAGCCTTTGGTGGTCCAGCAGGAAGATTTCGCTTCACAGCTGGACGGCACCGAGTACGCCGTCCTTAAACCGAGAGTACTTCATAGTGAGTAAACACTCACACACACTAGTACTGATGTGTTTCTGGTAGTTCAACCGGGTCATCATGACTTACTTAAGGGAGAGATGGTTTAGGAGATTTGATCGAGGAGCTAGGAAAGGGCAGCGCAGTGTTTAGGGATCCACTGAGCTGCTCGTTGTGATGGACGGAGACGCTTGTGGGGGACGTCCGTCTGCAGCGTCTCCATAGAAGCGTCTCGGATGCTTCATGTGTTGTTAGTGTGAGTCGTGCAGACGACAAACAACCAGGTTCAGAGGAAAAGCGCATTAACACAATGAGTGATGACGTAGACTCACATGATCTGTGTTTCTACGTCATGATTAAGAACGGACCAATGATACGGCACTATTTAAATATAGCTGCTGCAAGGAATTGTGGGACGGAATCATCTCCTCTCCTTCGTGAGGAACCTTCCTGAGAACATTTGACAATTGAAATCCAGCCCATAAAGTGACTCTAACTTACTAACTTTGTAAAAGTCTTGTAAGAAATGAGGAACAAAAGAAAAGGCTTTTATTATGAACATATTCTAGTCGTAAAAATAGTTTCTGCTGTTTGTTAGACTCCATAGATCCTGAACTACCTTCATCAGCCATGTTTGTCTCTCTATGTCCTGCATGTAATAAACTCCTCCTCTTCCTCTCAAGTCGATGATGAAGGAGCTGCAGGAAGGACATGGTTCTCTCCCATCTCTGGTGAACAAATGTCGACCAATGAGAGGAGGGGTGTCTCTGATCAGATACCTATCCCACCCGGACCCCCGAGCTCAGAGCGCCTACAGGTAACTTCAACATGTTTATTCACTGTGTACAGTTTACCAGGTTACTATACAATGGAATTATAATTCTGCTAAGCCCTCCTTCTACAAAGCTACAGACAAATATATATATACATATATATATATGTATATATACATATATATATGTATATACATATACGTAGGAGAAGCGGGTGCACGCCGGGCGACTCAGCACGCCTCCTGGGAGGACGTCCCTGTGCTCATAATGTGCTTATAATACTAATAATAGGGCTTCCCAACCTTTAAGAGAGGTCTTCACACGCGTTCAGATCTCTCTGATGTTCTCTGGACCTCCAAAAGAACCAGAGCTCCAGTCTGCTTCAAGTGCGCACCCTGCTCTCCCTCCTCCTCTTCCTCCTCCTCTTTCTTCTCCTCCTCCTCTTCTTCTTCTTCCTCCTCCTGGAAAGTGACGTCATCAGTCACAGTTTCATCTGAATTGTGTCCAGTCTCAGCTTCCCCTCCAGCCACAGTGTGGGAGGGAGCCAGAACCAGCTTTCCCTCCTGGATGTCTCGGAGGAGGGGGAGGAGAAGGAGAGGAGGAAGAGGAGGGAGAAGGGAGAGGAGGAGTGGGGGAATGTGTTAGATCCTCCCTCTGCGGCAGCAGAGAGTCAAACGGCTTCACAACAGAGGTGATTGGGGTTAAATCTTTTACCTTCTAGACGTGTACATGCAGATGTCTGAAGGCCTCTCTGTCTTCCAGGTCCAGCACTCCTGACCTCCTGAGGAAGACTCGAGACCAGGGACTTCCTTCGTGTGCGGGTAAACCCCCCCTGGAGAACTACAGAGAGAGTTTCCTGGTGTGTCCTTCACGTGTCCATGGAGCACTCCTGGTTGTAATCTCCACTGTGGGCAGGACTCCCCAGGAGGTCAGGAGTGCTGTGATCCCGCGCCCCAGCAACTCCCCACTCAGCCTGTGGCCGTAAGCCCCTCCTCTCCTGAGGTAAGCCCCTCCTCTCGCCGGGCCCAGGCCATGCGGCTGGGAGCCCTGATGGAGGAGCTAGAGAAGATGTTGAGGGACCAGAGACGCTCTGAGAAGGAGCTTCTATGTCTGGACCATCAGGTCCTGCACCTGGCTACCATCCTGAAGGTACCTGCGTGTACTTATGCACACGCCCGTGTACACACAGGTGTGTTCTCCATGTGTTTAAACATGCATGCTCTGCAGAACAACCTCTCTCTGCTGAGAGTCTCTGAGGAAGAGGAGGAGACGCTTGCAGTGGAAGAAGTCCTGGGCAGCTTTGACTTCTTGTCACATGATGATGACACTTCCTGTTCGGGAAGCCTGAGAATGAAGGACAGCAGGTGAGTTATAGATCAATAATCAATACACCGGCGCCTTAAGGCGATAAGCTCTCCTCTCCGTCTCACTTTTGTCTCATCGTCGTGCTCTCTGTCTCCCATTTGTCTCCTCTCGGTCTCCCCTTTGTCTCATCTTTGTCTCCTCTGTCTCCTTTCTTCCTCCCCTACGTCTCCCATTTGTCTCTGTCTCTCCTTTGTCTCATCACCGTCTCCTCTCTCTCCCATTTGTCTCCTCTCGGTCTCCCATTTGTTTCCCTTTCGTCTCCTCTCTGTCTCCTCTCCAGTCCCATGAGGATACAATCAGCTACTGATGAAGACTCGGCCGTCGCCCCGCTAACTTCTGGGAATTGGAGTCTGGACCAGGCTCTGGAGATACATCTGAAAACATGTTGTGTCCTGCTACAGGTAGACTGTTTCTGTGAGCTATGTCCTCATTGGTCTGATGAGTGGCCTTACTTAACGTCCCCCACGTCTCCTCAGATGCTAGCAGAGACAGACTTCAGCCCCTCCAGAAAGGAGCTGCTGCAGGAGGTGTCTCTGCAGGCCGAGGTCCTGCAGAAGATCAGCTGCATACTGCTGGAGGAGGACAGAGGGGTCTCTGCTGGGGACAGTGAGTGGACACCTGTCTGTGTGGGTCTCTAAACACATTATTATTTAGCATTGAACATAATAAATCCCCCATCTGTTAATATGGATCATTAAGGATCAATAATTAGTGGTTGTATCCCATCCTGTCTATGATCAATACCTTTGGTCACATGCTCCCTGTGCTCCTCCCCAGTCCTCCCAAGGGAGGTGCTGGCCTTCTGGGATGACTGCGTGACAGGGGTTGGCCCCTCCCCTTTCTGCTGCGACTCCGCCCGCTTCTGCCGGACGCTGAAGAAACGCTTCACCCACAAGGTGGAGGCCAAAGAGCCGGGCCAGTCAGACAAAGGTAGCTCGGAGCTCCTCCTCCCCGTCGTCATGGTTACTCTCAGAGCTCCTCTGCACCTCATGTATTTCCCACAAGGCCTTGCAACGATTTTTTAAATGTTTATACATGAACGTTTATTATCGAAATGAAACAGAATAAGGACAAAAGAAACAAAAGAAGAAGAACTAACGGAGCACCTCCTGATCAGTGATACTGTCTGAGCTCGACTCCTTCCTCCTCCCCCTTCCTCCTCCCCTCCTCTTCCTCCCCCCAGTGTTCTCCCACCTCCTGCAGGAGCTGCAGGCCTCCAGCCGCTTGGTGCCCAGCCCTCCTGCCTGCAGCCCTGAGGCAGTGACTCTGTTCCAGCTGTTTGTGTATCTGAGGAGATGGAACCTCCAGGATCTAGGAGGTCACATCTCACGTCTGTCCAGAGAAGGTTCCGTCTCCATGATGATCATTCTACTTATTATTTAGGTTTTATATTTTAGCTTTGGGCCACACACTGCTTTGATCTTAAGTGGGCCAGAGGTCCCGGGGGGTCGACGGGTGCGTGGTGGACTGCTTAGGGAGACCGCGGACCAGATGTTATAGTTGTTAAATGTTATGCTGTTCGCACACTGACGAACTAGCATCCAGCTAGCATCACAGTACACATGTGCACACAGAAATCAGAAAATTATATTTCTTATACTAAGTATAACAGGGTTTATTAACTTCCAACAACACTAATGTGATCTAATGTGTGTGTGTGTGTGTGTGTGTGTGTGTGTGTGTGAGAGATAAGGAGGAGAGCTCAGGAAGGGAGCTAGCTGGATGCTAAGCTGCTGAGCACATGGCAGAGGTGTTTGTACACGCGTGTTCTTGGCGTAGTTACACCTGTCCGTCGGTAATTACATTACATTACATTACATTACATTACATTACATGTCATTTAGCTGACGCTTTTATCCAAAGCGACGTACAATAAGTGCATTCAACCATAGGGTACAAACTCAGGAGAACAAGAAACAAGAAAGTGCAATTTCCTCAAATAAGCGAATTTACAATTTGCTATAGATGAGTAATTAGTGTTTCTGTTAGTTAAGAAAAGACTGCGTGTCTCCTGGTTGTCAGACAGTGATTAAGTTGATATCGAGTTAAATGTGTAAGCAAATAAAACGAGTAGCCTCATAATAGCAGAACATGAAATGATGGATCATGAAGGTCAGTCGCTGTTGTTCTCATAAAATGACCTGTGGTTACGATGGAGGCAGCACAGAGAGACAAGGAGAGACAGACATGCTGACCCCACCCGGACAAGGTGGGGGGGCGTCCCTGTCTCTGTATGCCTTTAGAACTGAATACAAATGGTCCACGTCGTCCTCGAAACTATGTTCTAAATGTGCAAACTTTCATATATAAATATAGAATTGTAGGCAATACACTTAACAAAGAAGAATTATGGGGGAGGGTATTCATCTGGACCCCCCCAATGTCTAAACCATGGTTACCTTGGTCGATGAGGTTATCTGTGTTTCCTCGAGTCTCGTTTAACTCGGTGTCCGCTCGGCCCTTTATTGGGGGGGTCGATTGGGGATCATGAGGGCTGTTGGGTTTCTTGGTGGCGCAAAAGCTGTTTGTGCTCTTTTAACACACAAGCTGTATCCAAGGGGGTAGAAGACGTTTTCCTTCTTGGGGAGCTGCTTCGGCCGGAAGAGAAGACTGGGGCAGCCGGACGTCTCGAGAGCAGCTAGTAAATGTTTGGGGAGGCCGGAATGAGTCTTGAACTTGTAAAGAGTCTTGAACCTTTAAAGAGTCTTGAACCTTTAATGAGTCTTGAACCTTTAATGAGTCTTGAACCTTTAATGAGTCTAGAACCTTGAATGATGCTTGAACCTTTAATGAGTCTTGAACCTTGCGCTGGCAATGGCCAGAACGTTTGAAGAGGGGGAACTCACAGCACAGGACCCCTGTGGTGTCTGTGGCTTGACAATCAGATCTCAGGGCTGTTTCACCAAGAGAGAGGATTCACACTAAAACCTAGTTTATGCTTCTGCGTTTTCAGAGCGACGCAAGGGACACGCAGACGCAAGATTCCCTTGCGTGTCCCTTGCGTGTCTTTTCACACCTCCTTGCGTGCGTCGACCCATTTTTCTATTCTTGCATCGAAAGCGACGCAAACCTCCCGCAACTCTGTAGGTGGTCTTCAACAAAACACGTTACTCCAACTATACACCTGTTGTTCTGGAGGTGAAATGCTCTGCAACACACGCAAGACTTTACAACCATGAAGTGAAACGAGTGCGTCGACACGACGATGCGCAAAGACGCAGGAACATGCGCCAGTCTTCAGTGCGTGGACAAATTCCTTGCTGGGGTTTTTATCTCCTGCAGCAGAAATGCATTTGAAAGTCAGCCTTGGTTTTGGTGGGAGCTCAACAGTGTGTTTCAACACCCGTATGATTCATCATTAATCAGATGCTGCTTCTTATTAAGGCCGGTCTTTTGATTTTCACAGAACAACAAGTATAAAAGTAGTAAAACAACCTCAACAACAGCAATGTGGGTTTGTGCTCGGTTCAACGTGGTGCCGTTTGCTTTTATCCACTTTGAGCACCAGGCGGGTGGAGATTGAAGCTTTATGGACTTCAGTAATTTGAGCCATGAATCTGACTTACTGATCTGATCATTGTGTTTCAGAGTACATCCTGTCTGCCCTGAGGAGCCCCAAAAAGAGGCGGGCTCTAAATAAGCTAAGGGGAGGGAACTTCACAGTGCTCCTCCCACTGAGATGCACGCTGCAGACTCTGGCGGCGTTGCAGCTCGACTTCAACCACAAAGTCTGCAAGGCCGCAGCCAGCTGTATGTGCAGAGCCGCAGGCTGCAGGGCCTTCAGGAGCCAGGTGAACTCCAGATGTTCAACATGTTAGCATAGCATGCTAACAGCTGTTTGTGCAGAGCTTTCAGTTCCTTAAGGAGCCACGTACACCGGGATGTTCACCAAGCTATTTTAGTATCTTAGCATGCTAAGATGGAAGATGTTTGCACTAATTCCTCCTCCTTTGTGCTCTTCCTCTGCTTCGTCCCCTCCTCTTCTTCCTCCTCCTCTTCCTCCAGGCCATAGTTTACTACACGGCGAGTTTGAGGAACTCGGATGTTCTGATCCAACATGGCTCCTGTCTGGCTCTTAAATGCCTCAAGGTGAGCTCCTCACATGTCCCTCTCTCTCACACACACACACACACACACACACACACACACACACACTCTTTACATAATGTGTGTGTTTCCTAGGCGACAGAGAGCGCCGACCTCATAGCAGACTTGTGGAGATCAGCTGATGAAGATCTTTGCTGCACCGCCAGAGAAACTGTCCTGTCCTTTGGTAATAAACACCAGTAACTACTTCCCTCAATAGTATTCAATCATTTTATTGTTGTAAATAGGATCCACATGTGTTTGTGTGCAGGTAAGAAGGGCTACCTGGCCTTCCAGAGGATGGATCAGATGTACACAGAGATGCTGGAGGAGGCCTACCAGAACCAGGAGACGGAGAGCACCTTTCTGTAGGACCTTGAAGAGGTCTTTCCTCTGAAGGACGTGCTGGGTGAAGGTACCAGGAGAAACCCTGTGGTACCTTCACAAGCTCATGGCTGCTGTTTGAGCCCCGAAGCTTCACGCAGGGACCCGACACGTTACTTCAGAGGACGACTGACCCCAAAGCGCCAGTGACAATTGATTTTATTAGATTAACTAATTAATCCCACTGTTTGAAATTCATTAATTAAAATTATTTTTCATCTCAAGACTAAATTTTATAGGTAATGAGTAATCACTTTAGAAAGTGTGTATTTTAGCCCTGTTATTTAGTTGTATTTTTTAAACACAAACTGCCCTCATGTGATCGTGTTGGAGGTGGAACACGTTGAACTTCCTGTCGTCCTCGTGCACTTTGCTCTCAACTCGCCATCATTTAACGTGTTCGCAACATTCAGCAGGACGTTTTCAAACCACTGTCCTTTAGAGACACAGTGATGGTCCTCTGGAGACTGTGTGCCGCGCAGGGTAACGTTAGATGTTGGAAGTCGCCTAGCAGCTAGCTTAGCATAACAGCTAGCTTAGCCTACATCTAGCAACGTGATCCAGGCGCTATCAGTCCTAAAGTGGTCCGTTTGCACTCGTCCGCCTTCTGTTTGACACGTGGAGGAATTCCTCTGCTCAGTTCTTCTGTTAGTTTTACTTCCAATGCAAAACGCGTCTCCATCTTCAGCGACCGTCTCGCTCTCTGCATCTACCTGACTGCAGCACACGGCGGGGTCAGGGGTCAGGGGTCAACGCACACCGGAAGGAAACAAAGCTGCGTTTCCAATATTCTATCGCATTAATCTCGGCCACAATAATCTCAGCGTTAATTAATTTTATAGCCGCCGGACGTGTGATGTGAACATTCAACCGTCAGTGATCAATAACGCAGATCGGAGGTCCAGGTTCAGGCGGAGAAACATGGTGGAGCTGATGAGATTGGAGCTTTAGTTTGTCTCAGGCAGAACATTTGGATTGAAGAGAAAGATCAAATTGAAATATTACTTCATATACTCCAAATCAGCTGGAATCCAGTTATGCTTATTAATTTATATGTATATTATGAGCGTTTGTTTTGTCTCAATGATGCATTCATTTAAACCCTGATATAAAATCATATCTTAACAATTGTGTATTTTATTATTGCCAGAAAGAGACGGTAAAGGTTTAAAATATATTTTAGTGTTTGGCAAATTTGATTGCATATTAAGTTTATTTCATGATTATTATTTTTAAAGTGCATTGTTTATTGGCTCTAAATTCAGACACATAATGGGCCACAGGGGGGCAATTATTATTGGCTTGGGAGGTCCATCATCACGTCTCTCAGCCAATGAGAGCATTTCGAAGTAACTTAACCCGGAGTCCCTGAGGCCGCTTTGGCATCATCATGGTAAAAGGTGTAATAACTGACTAGGATTGGGACAATTCCTTTACTGTAGAATGAAAGAGGAACCATTGACTGCTGTGATGTGAAATATCAATATATACATTAGTGGTTAAGAAATAAATGTCCATCTATGTCAAACTCCAGGTTGTGGAAAGTATCTGTGGAACAATTTACTTTGATGGAGTGAAGCAGATCGAGAGGTTGTAGTAGAGTTCAGCAGAGGTTTCCAAAATGGAAATTTGGGCCCATTTGTATATAGTTTTATTATATACCACTTCACTTATATATGTTGATCAATACACCCAAATAAAACATGTTGGGGCTTTTGGGGGAATTTGAAAAACGACCATAGAAATCCACTGAATGGTGTTACTTTATTCAGGGGAGGTTTGACTGAGATGTGACTCTGATCTGTTATTCTCTCTTCTCGGTTTTATTGTTAGAATGTTGCTTTGATCGCTGGTGGATGAAATGTGCGGTTTGGTAGTGATATAGACATATGTACGGATGTATTTCACACATATATTTAATGCTTGAGTTGTGTTTGGAGCAACAGCTATGTGGCATTATTATAGGAGGTTTTTTCTTGATGGTATTTTTTTAGAACTATTAAGTTGGATCTGCTTCCTGCTCCACCACGGCCTTTTTAAACTACTCTACTCCTAATGACAGATGTTGATGTAACAAGTTGAGAGAAATATTTATTTAAATTAAAACCAGAGCAATGATGCAGCAGTACACACAATTTCCTTTGAATTAATTAAAATGTGTTTGTGAACATTGAAAAAAAAAAAAAAAGAGAACAGCAACCCATGCAGAGGAAAAACAAACCAACAAAAACCAGCCAAGAGGAACAGAGAGGGGCATTGTGGGTAACACGCCATGTGACGAGCATGGCCAATGATTGTCCAGAGGCTGCTGTGACACCAACGGAGAACAAAGCAAGTCAACGGTACCGCCATGATGACCGGAAACAAACATGGCCTCCAGCAGTTTGTCTTTGTGAAGGAAACGCGGCGCTCACCGCAGATACCTGCCACATGCGGCGACAGGATGTGGGGACGCCGCAAAGTCCCAGCGCGGGGCGGGACTTCCTCCTCCTGCTGCTCCATGATACATTTACACCGTCTCCTGGCCTACTCGTTATTCCCAGCATTCCAGAACAGCCGCCCTGATCCTCCATGATCCCTCCCTCCACCTCACCATGTCAGAAGAACCCCCCTCTGCACTCCTAGGTCCCCACGATGGCCGGGTCGTGGGCGGCGTGCGGCAGCGCAGTGTCCTGGCAGTGGTACAGGAAGCAGTTGCCCCAGCAGCTGTAGCAGATGAGGAAGAGCGCGGCGAGGAAGACGAGGGCGCAGATGGTGCAGGGCTTCCTCTCCAGCAGGAAGCTCAGCAGGTAGAAGCCCATGAACATGGAGTGGTTAAACCACAGCGCCGGGTTCAGCGGCTTGGGGATGAGCAGCACGGGGAGCAGCCACTGGAGGCAGTACATGGCGCCTGTGAGACGGGTCTCTCTATGTGAGGGCAGGTCAGAACCCGACCTTAGAGGAGGAGAGGTCAGAGGTCACGGTTGTCAGGTCATCCCAGGACACTACAGAGGACAGAAGTGTACAGGTTTGAGCATTTTGCATCCAGAAAGTCTATGAAACTAACAAGTGAATCCGACTTTAACGCCACTGATGGTCGTGACGACGTCCATCAGAACCCAGAGACGTGGTTACATTCTATTTCCTGTCACGTGTGACAGTACACCGAGGAGTCGAGAATCGAACCACCAACCCCTGACGAGAGGAAGACCGGCCTTAAATCCGACCTGAGACCAGATCTCTGCAACCGGAGAACCGGCTCCAGCTGGATGAGGACAAAGCAGAGCCGCTGCTAGCTTCCACTCTCCGGCCAACGTTCGATCGGTAAACATTCATGGAGGTCTGCTGGTAGCGGCTAGTTATCATCACAGTGAGGCTAAACACGGTATTCACGTGAACGCCAAGTTAGTGGACGGGAAAAGACCCACTAAACTGAACAGAAGAAGAATATGTCGTCATGTTTGTGATGATTTAGAATCAGACGTCACATCAACTACCGTTAGAGCACGTGGGGCTCGACAATTCGGTGCGACACGCCGGGTTTAAACATTTAAACACAGAACCGTGTCGCTTTAGTAGCAGTGAACCTTTAGCTCTCTGCTGGGCTAGATGCTAAGCTATGAAGCTAAAGCAGCTCCACCGTGAAGCTAACACGTTCCATGACGTGTGGTTGGTTATTAACAGACGTTCACTGGAGAATAAAGAACTGCACGTATAGGCGGTTAGCTGGCGAGCTAGCTAGCTTACGTCTTACACACGAAAGATTTAGCGAGACTATTGCAGTGTTGCCTCTGACGTAACACCGCTAAGTGTCAATCAACGCGTCTATAGTTGTGTTAACCGGCGTCTCCAGAATAAAGTCAACAAACCTGACATGTTTTGGGGCTCGTTCTCACCAGAGAGCGACCGTCAGCACCAACTCCGGCTCGGCTACTGACTGCGTACGTAGCATGCTAGCTGCTCACACTAGCTAACGAGCACTAGCGGTGCCTCGAAGGACCCCTGGTGAAAAGCTGAGGCTGACGATGTGCTGCCTGAATAAAATGCACTCCGCCTGACATAGTTTATTTAGTAATGCGCCGCAATGGAATGAGTATTCAGAGCCTTTGATCGACGTGTTTAGGTTAAGACGTGTTCATGGAAAATGTTACCAACGTAAAATCAAAATCAATAGTTGCCTATTTTGTGCAGAAGGTCCGTGGTATCAAGAGGCTCATGGACCAGAAAAAATAGATCACCTTCATTTCATTTTATTTTGTATAGCCCAAAATCGCAAATTACAAATCTGCTTCAGAGGGCTTTAGTCTGTCCTGAAACGGGAGAAAAGGGAAGAAACCTCCAGAGAGACGCAGCAGGAGTCAGGACGGACAGACTGCGATGATGTCATGTTTACACGATGATTTATATTTATTTAAATGTATTTATATTTCCCTCTGGCCGGGGTTTAAGTAATGTATTGTATTCTAATACATCAGAGGTCAAGGCATGATTCATAAATACGACATGAAGTAATAAAGATACAGAAAAGCACCATCAACACATTATTATCACTAGCAGTATCCTTTGATCTTTGATATTCTGATGAAGTAAAAGTACAAAAACAGAGAGAAAAAGTATTGAGTATTGATCATGCGAGTCAATTATTACCCTTTGCCATTGACCTCCATTTTTGTGGGGAAAAAAACACATAGCTGATTTTTGCCTTTTTATGGAATTTAGTGACCCAAACCGCATAAAGAACAAAAAAAGTCCAAATTCATTCATTCATTATTTTATGTTTAGATGTTGAAGCAGCAAGAAATGACAAAATCTCATTTCCTTCAAACTTTATTTGTCCCGTTTAACTTCGTACACAGAGAAATAAAGAAATGCAAACATTGTGTAAAATTAGACAAAAGAAGGTTTACCTGCGGTTTCTTTTCGTCGGTGCTAAAACCAAATACTTATCACAAGCTCAGTGTTTATTTATATATATATATATATATATATATATATATATATATATATATATATATATATATTGGACGGGACATCGGCAGTCTTTTGACCTTACATTGTCCACTCTGTTAATTATGTTGAAATGAAACAACCAAATGTAAAACCTAAATAAACGACGAGTATTGAGTGTTTTCTATGCGAGGGACGACGTGCGAGTCAGGAAGCAGAATCCCAGCCACCACATACATGTACATGATATATGTGTCGTTGTCTGCAGCCGAAAGCTTCATGCTGTCAGGAGCAAGTCAGAAGTCACGCATCAGCCATTATAGTGAGACAGAGACACACGGCCATCTCTCCATCAAATGCAGATGTGCAACAACATCTGGTCCTCGGCAGAGAGCCGGAGACGATCACTCTAAGTCTCCTTGCCTGGTAACTCAGTAATGAATTAATTCAGTGTTACGGAGCACTGACCTCATTCAGTTCACTCAAGTCCCAGATCTCACAATGAACAGTGACTCCATCAAAGCGGATCAAACACCACTGACTGAATCACTTTACATTAAACTTGGACTTCCGGTGACCCATGACTCGATGCTCCGGACCTCTAAATGTTGCTCTAAGAGCGGCAGCCAGTGTTTGAAGAGCATTTAGCTCAATGAATCAACAAAGTGCCAAAGCCGACCGGCGAGGCCTCTGATCGCGAGGAGCTGAGAGGAGTCGGACGAGATGACAGATAAATACTGTGCTACATTCAGCGTATCACTCAAGCAAAAGTACAGCATGAGGAGCGTAACGCGCTCACGTGTCATCGCATCGTTATGTAAATCTCATTGGACGGTAGCTGGTGACGACAGGAATACTTCATCTTTTATCTATTTTAATGCAGGACGTCTGAAGCTCATCTCAGTCTGTAGAGAAACTGAAGAGAAAGTGAAAGTACCACACAGAGTACTTGAGTAAATGGACATTCAGGTGCTTCATCAGGTGACCTCCACGTCTCTGACATCACCTCCGCAACGCTCTTCAACACGGATTCAAATAAGGTGAATCCATGGCGACGTCAGTGACTCCTCCCACTCAGTCCGAGCTCCATCCTCCTCATAGGCTCCACTTCTCAACCGTCCGTCAAAGACCTTCACGTCTCCTCTTCCTCCATCAGAGATGCGTGTCCTGCTCCTCTTCCTCCTCCGTTGCTGCTTGATTCACAAACACCTGAAGAAGAAACATGGACTCAAACCACCTTCGTTGAGCTCATTGAAACATCCAAAGAATTAAAGACTCATCCAATCACCTTCCAGCGGCTGCTCTCGGCCCCGCCTCCTATTCCTCCCGCCGCGAGCCCATTGGTGGTCGGCTTCTTCTCGCGCATCTCAGGCTGGTTGTCATTAGTTACGTCCAGCGTGGGATTGTCATGGCAACTGTTTTCCACAAAGTGAAGTTCTTCAGCGCGGAACTGTTTCGGTGAAAAAGACAGAAAAGGTAAGATTCTATTTCAAACTTTAAAAAGTTGTTTTATACTTCATTGGAAGTCTTTGAGACTCAACTGCTTTTCAAGTCCCGCCCCTCATGATAATTCATAATTATCAATATTCATACATGTGTTACACGTATCAATCACATCTGCTTACCACATTCAGACCAGAAAGCAAACATCAGAATGTGATTGATTGATTAAAGGACTAAGTAATAATATAATAATACATAGTGGATGTGAGCAGTGGAGCAGCAGAGTTCTGAACATTGCAGTTGGTTTAGGATTTTGTTGAGGAGAGCCGGAGCGGAGGTCAGAGGGCATGGATGAGAGTGTTGGTGGTAACAGAGGAGAGGGGGGTTTGAGCCGTAAAATGTTCCTGAGGTGGAAGAAGGCAGTCCTGGTGATGTGGTTGGCACGAGGTAGAAAGAAAGGGTGGTGTCGAGGATGATACCGAGGTTGCGGAGCTGGGTGGAGGGGGTGATGATGGAGGCATCAATGTTGAGAGAGAAGGGCTGAGCAGATGAGGGACATGGGGCTGCGGAGATGGTACTGGAGGAGAAGTAGAGTTGGGTGTCGTCGGCGTATGATGACGGATGAAGGATGTAAAGGATGAAGAGGAGGGGACACCGTGGGTGGAGGATTTACAGTTGTTTTGATGTGGGTCTGAGAGACATGAGGTGAACCAGGACAGGCCAGTGACAGCTATGCCACTGGAGACGTGAGGAGGAGGATGGAGTGGTTGATAGTGTGGAAGGCGGCGCTGAGGTCAAGGAGGATGAGGATGGTGAGGAAGCCTGAGTCGGGTTCGTAGAGACTATGGAGATTGAGGTGGGACTTGAATTGTGCTGCCACAGCTTTGTCAAGAAGTACTGGAGTAGAAGTACCAGTAGAAGGACTATGAGTGGACCCACCGTGGTCTTGGTCCCAGGCAGATGTCTCTGCCAGCAGATATAGAGGAATCCAGACGTGATGATGATCATGCACACGGAGCCGATGATCACAAGAACCACAAACAGTTTCCCGTAGTCGCTGCGAGTCGGACTACGACCAGTGCGACAGGTACTGGGAGAACTGAAGGTCTGAATGCCCACCTGAGGACAGACAGAGGACACAATGTGAGGGGATCAGGACCAAGAACCAACTGACCTCTCTGCTGTCATGTGATCTAAAGGAGATACCTGATTCAGCATCCTGCGGATCTCTCCCAGCATGCTCAGCACCTCCTTGGTGGCCATGACTCCTGTAACACACCACACAGGGTCAAATGTCACACCGTGTGTGTGTGTGTGTGTGTGCGTGTGTGTGCGTCTGTACCGTGCTCAGACACCACGTTCATCATCAGCTGTTGCAGTTGGTGTGTTGGCTTGTTGAGGTGAACTTGCCACGATCCTTCGGGGCTGTTCATCCTCTGAGCAAACGCTCCCTCGATGACCTTCAACAGCCGGACGCCACAGGCCACACGGAACTCTTCCTGTAGCACGCACACACAAGCTAGAGATCAGCTGCAGTCCAAGAGGATCCAGCTGCGTTGCCGTAGGAACCATGAGCGCTGAGGGTTTGCGTTGTTGCCATGGAAACAGACACCATGGCAAATGTTCTTCAGTTGATCTTTTCAATGATAACAAGAAGCGCAGCGAGGGAAGAAGTATTCAGATCCTTTAGTAAAAGTGAAACTGGGACCTCATACTTCAGTAACGTACATGTGGAAGTACTGAGTAGTACGTACACAGCTGAGGTTCTCCGTGGTGTTCAGGAGGACGGATCCTTGCTGTGACAGTTTGCTCCAGTCGACACACGTCACCTGAAGGTCACAAACCCTTAATATGAAGATTCATTCATAAATGCGTTGTCACGGAGACCTCCTCCCCGCCTACCTGCCGCTCCTCAAGCTCATCAAAGCCAGTGACCTCTGAGGCCCTGCTGCCCCGGACCTCTGATTCTGGGGACGATGTGGTCGTCTCCAGCCAATCACGGGAGGGTTCGGTGAAGCTGGGGGAGGGGCCAGCGGTGAGCGGGGAGACTTCCTGCTCCTCCTCTTCCTCCACCCTGGGCTGCAGGAACCCCCTAGTGGGAGCCACCATCACCTCCGCCTCTGTGGGGTTCTGGGTAACTGCGTCCCTGTGTGGCAGAGCGGCCTCTTGGTCCTCCTCCTCGTCCCTCTCTGTCTCTTCGTCCTGGACATCTGCAGAGGCAGAACAAAGGTCAAACAGGAAGCTGCTCTTCATCATCCTCCTCTTCCACGCTGAAAAGGGAGGCACCTTCAGTGTAACCCTCCAGGAGCCCGAAGTCTGTCCCTGTGTCCGTCTCGGGGGGGGGCGTTCCTCCAGTAGCTGCAGGGGCCGAGGGGTGGAGATCTCCGTCACCACTGGAGTGAGCGTCTTCCTCCCACAGGTCTCTCTCCGCCTGTAGGGGGACATTTAGAGACTGAGAATAAGAATGATTACAATTGTTAAATAATTACAGTAGAATAAATAATTAGAGTAAGAAATGTGAATTAGAATCATTAGAATAATACACAATTACAATTAAAATAGAATAAAAATGACTGATCGCATCTAAAACTTCACCTGTTTAAATGAGATTTTAATAAGACTATTATTTCCTCTTCGGCTGTGATTCTATATGTAGAATAGCATGTACTATACATATATACTGTATATATATATGTATATATATATATGTGTATTCAATGATCTCCAGTTCATGAGGATAGTTTTCTTGGGAGTAATATGTTGCTTGTTTTGGTTGATTTATTGTTGAAATGTCTCGCAGTAAGACCAGCGAAGGACGAGGCAACACAGTGACCCAGTTATTCTCTTGTCAAAGGGGTTGCAGTGCCAAGCGTATCATATATATATATACATATACATATATATATATATATATATATATGTATGTATATGTGTACAGATGTTCTTACCTTCAGGACCAGGGCTCCACGCTGCTCCTGTAGCCCAGGGTCACGGCCCTCGGCTGGGGGGCCGGTGTGGTTGGAGCGTCTGGAGCCTGTGAGACGCAGAGACGTTAAGTTGTAGGTCAAGTTAGCTTTCAGCCATGGTTCTCAAGCTGTGGTGCGTGACACTCTGGTGGGGCGCGAGGGACTCGGGTAAATGTCGTTTTTTTATTTTTATTTTGAATTATTATTTTATTTATAATCCTTTATTAATCCCACATGGGGAAATTCTTCTCATTTCATTTGACCCGTTCTTGGTAATAAGGAGCAGACACGGAGAGAACCTGTAGAACATCACAGCCGTTTAGTTACGTCCTCCTACTTCTTCTCTTTAACTCAAAGAGATCGGACTAGTTTTAGATTTGTTCAAGTTAAACGTACAGTGCTGTTTTGTGTTTCTTCCTCCAAAGGCCCGACAGAGAACGTTTGAGAACCACTGGCTTTAAGGAACCTCGGTCCCGTCGCCATGGCAACGTTTACGGCAGGTTTGAGTGAGTTACCAGCCGGTAAACGATGGAGGCATTTCAAAGAGGCTTTAGAGGAGCAAACCTTAGTTTCCATGTGATGTCATCATTTCTACTAACCAATCAGAGCCTCCTGATCTGGGCTCGTGTGAGTGTCATCGTCTTCTCCTGTCCTCTCCTTGTCCTCGCCCACGTCGATCTCCCACTCCTCTCCTCCTCTTCTCTCTCTGTCCTCTCCTTCGTCCTCTCCTCGGTCTCTGTCCTCCATGTCTGTTCCATAGTAGCCTGAGGCCTCCAGGGAGGCGTCCCCGGCTCCCGGTCCAGCGAGGGGCTCTTTCTCCGGGTCTGAGGAGTCAGGAGGTCCCCTGTAGCTTGGTTCTTTCTGAGGAACCACCAGGTGAATCATACGCTGAAAACAAGAACACATTTCTTCTTTGACAAACGTTCCATCCTGTACGGCCCTCACACGTGACCGTGAACTCACCTCCATCTCGTCCTCCACCCCGAGGTTTTCCTCCATAGCGGGTTGGGACAGCAGCTGGAGGTCAGCGGTGTCCATCTCCTGAGAGCGGGACGCTTTGTGGGTCTCCGGTCGGCCCGTGTACTGGCCCTGATGAGGCTGGGTTTGGACTAACTCCTGCAACGAGTTGCGTTTGGTCCGGAGTACTTTTTGAATGGAGCGAGGCTGGGTGGGACCTTCTTCCTGGAGGAGGTAGACCAGCGGGGGGCCGAGGGGTTTGACCTGCCGGGGCAAACCCAGCGAGAAGGCATTGCTGCTGGAGAGCAGAGCTAGAGGAGGAGAGATGAGAGGTTTTATTCCTCTACTGAGAGCTCATTTGGTTCACTTATTCTGATCAAATACATTTGACAGGTCTTGTTGACCTTGATGTTGCAGATTTCTAAATGACAAAATGTCAAATTGAATGATGGTCATGAACATTAAAGGTTATGAGCTTTATATACATAATAAGTGGGTGATTCCATCACATGTCATTTAGCTTTTATCTTACAATAAAGACACAAACTCAGAAGAACGAGTAACAACTTGTTGTAGATAAGAACCATTATGAGTCCAATGTAAGTGCTCCAGTTAGTGTGTTAGTGGAGGTAGAGTCTGAAGAGGTGTGTCTTTAGTCTGAAGATGTGAAGGCTCTCTGTGGTCCTGATGTCTTCAGAGACCTCCTTCCACCATTTAGAAGCAGGACAGCAAAGAGTGGAGATCTAGTCGAGTGTTTTGCTCTCAGTGAGGAGGAACAAGCAGTTCATCAGAGTCAGTTGATGGAGTCGTTAGTTATAATTAGAAAGACAGTGTGGTGGACGGTGGAAGAGAGAGAAAAGCTCCATCACCCCTTCCAGTGGTCCTGGGTGTGTGGCTGAAGGAGAAGGTGGAGCAGAGAGCGGCTGGGTGGAGGTGTTCTCAGGTGTGATCCAGGACGTTGTTTACTACCATGTTTACTGTAATGTATGAACCATTAACAGATGCAACTAACACGATAATACTGATACAATAAATACACCTCAGCTTTAGGTCGTTATTAGCTCACACTACTTCTAATCAAACATTCATCCCTCACCCGTCAGGTCTCCCATGATGCACTCTGTTTGGGACTACAGATGCCGGTCTCATCTCATGAGATTAAGAAGTTGGACTTTTCTTCAAAGATCAAACTTACAAAGTAAGCAACATCATTCTGATCTGTCCTCCGGGGACACACATGTCCCAACAAACTGACGATCCGAGAGGTTATAACGCTTTAACGGACACGAGAAAACATTTCTGAACACGTGAAGCCAGTAGAGAGGATCCACTCGACCATGAAGACATAATCGGTCTATAGTCTCAAACCTTTAAAGAGTTTTATGTCCAGTTTAAATTGCTCTTCTGCACACATATTTCTGCATATTTGATGTTTGATTGAATTAATGAGTTTTACTGACTTTGTGAGCAAAAGCAAAGATCAATGGAAGACACAGTTTCTTTATGTTCCACGCACCTTCATATTTTAGTTTGTGGTCATAATATAAAATAATCGAGTCTCAAACAAGAATATTCCTCCTTCTGGCTTCTTTCCTAAAGACCCCCCAGATCAGCTTATATTGTCTGGGCCCCTCCCCCAAATCCCCCAAATCCCCCGAGTTCCCCCTCCTCTTCCTCACCCTGTCATCTCTTCAGAAGTTGTTTGTTTTTAACGGTTTATCAATGGAATATATATATATATATATGAAAATATAATTTAATATTCTTTAAATGTCCATTATTAGTCAATGACTGTTAAAGTGATCATTCTAATTTTTTGTTGAAGATGATCATCTATGTGTGTGTGCGCGGTTTTAAGAGCACAGCCTTTATTCTGTATTTTTGATCAAATTAGAATTGTTTTTGTTATTTAGTTATTTATTACGTGATGATGGTGTTTTCTCCGCTTCCTGCCTGGATGAAATGAGACACTCACCGGTCAGCGTGGTGATGAAGAAGCAGCAGCAGCAGCGCGGGCCCGGCATGTCTGCTGCAGTGCTTCCTCCTCCTCCTCCTCCTCCTCTTCCTCGGCTCGCAGTGGTCGGATCTCTCCGGATGTCGGAGGAGACCGATGGAAGACAGACCTCAGGCCGCAGTGACTGTCCTGTCTGCGGCGTGCGGACTCACTGCGGTGTCCGGAGACAGGCAGACGGACTGAGGGACAGACAGGCAGAGAGACAGGCGGACTGAGGGACAGATCGGATCCGCGTCCTCCTGCAGCCTGTAGTTCCGTGTCTCTCCGCCGGGAGTCGCTGTTTCTGCTGCGGCGGACAGATGCGTTCAAGTGCTGCTCGCAAAGTTCCAACAGCAGTTTATAAAGTCATTGAAATGAGCTCCACTTTCACTTTAAACAAAGGACTTGAAATGCAACAGCTAATGTAATTTAAAAGAACAAATGTCGAGTAAAAGTTGAATTTGTTGGAAATAGAAGTTTTAATTTAGGTCAACTTATAAGAAGCTGCATGTTAATGTCCATAAACTCAACACAATGATCAGTTTAAACCTTGAACTTACATCAGCAATCAATACACGACATGTTTAACAAACAACTTTAATATGGAAACATCTGACGGCTGTTTAAATGAGCAACAGAAACAATGAATCCACAAACAGCAACATGTACATTACTTACAATAACAAGCAGATATGAAAACAGAGCATCTTTTATTTTCACATTTACGACCTTTCATCGAGGTTCTTTTACTAAATGTCTGCTTTTATTTTGGAAGCAACATGACCTCATGGTCACGTGACTAGTGTCCACCTCTCTGAGTTAACTCTGGGTCATAAGATGACTCGTCTGCTTCCTCCAGTATTATTCTGGAGCTACTGGTAGCCCCGCCCCCTCCTCCTGATGATTGGACGCCGCTCAGAACTGCTGCAGGATCAGTTTCTTCTTCCCGTCGTGGCTGAACTTGTTGGAGCGGAAGACGTCGCTGTCATAGAACGACGTCAGGTTGTGGATGTTGATCTGTCGGGCCTGGGGGGCACACGCGTATTTAGAACACACACACGCACGACTTGTCTGCTCTGAACGGTCCCCGAAGGCACCATTTGACCCCTCCCTGCTCACCTTGTCCTGCAGGTCCTTCTCCACCACCTCGATGGTGTCGTTCTGGACTCCGTACCGGTTCCTCTGGTAGGAAACCTGCTCGGCCACCAGCTGTTTGAGGATGAAGAGCAGCAGCTCGTTGTTGTCCCGCCGGAAGGCCAGGTACCGGGAGAAGGTCTGGAGGGAAACACGGGGGTCAGTGAACGCCTCGTCTCCCAGGGGACTCCTCGGCGAGGGGGACCACCCACCTTCCTCATGCTCCTCATCACGCTGAACTTCTGCGTGTCGATGAAGCTCTCCAGCATCACCCGGATGGCCATGTTGACGTCGTCCTCCAGCACGTAGTCCCTCAGGTGCATCTTGGCGTGCGCCTCGGCCATGCGGATCATGGACTCGATGTGACGCACCGTGATGGGGATGCTGCCCGTGGCCTGCCGGGAACCCAGGATGCGTTAATGCAGCTGCCCACACCTGGGCCTCCAGATGTGTCTCTGGGTCACGCGACTCACCATGGACTCTTTACGCAGGTCGCTGTAGATGCGAGCCACCTTGTCCTGATCCATCTGGTTCAGCTTGGGATGAATCTGCAGACGAGAGGAAACGGATCCACATTAAATATAAATAAATAAAACCCTCACGCGAGCACGTTCGCCCAAAGCAAAGCCAGCGCAGACGTGACTGGCGAGAGACATGTGCTGCAGGACACGCGAAAAAGCACATTAATCGCCTTTTCGCCAGAGTTTTATTATATAAATTACAAACAACGGAGACAAGCCACGCCCCCTTTCCAGCGCTAATGGAGCAAATGAAGACGACAACTCGCTTTTGGTGTGAAGACAGCATGTTGGTTAGACTGCTAGTGGTCCTAGTTAGTACCAAGTCAACCAGTACTAGTTAGTCCTCCTACCCTCTCTTTGGCGTAGATGATGTACTTCCTCAGCAGCTCCTGTGGAATTGGCGGCACATCAGACGTGTTGTGCAGAAGGACTTCCTCCAAGGCCACGCCCGCTTCCTTGTTGCTAGGGTGATGCTTGATGTGTGAGCCAACCACAAAGCGCGCCAACATCTCGTCCTGCAGAACCAACCAATCAGCAAAGAGGAAGAACCGCTTCAACAGAGCCTTTTCAGTGTGTGTGTGCGTGCGTGCGTGCGTGCGTGCGTGCGTGCGTGCGTGCGTGCGTGTACCTGCACAGGGTCCACGGTGTCTCTGACCACACACAGGACATCAAACCGGGACACGATGGGCTCCGTCAGGTCCACATTGTCAGAGAAGGTCAGGGAGGGGTCGTACCGGCCGCCTGCCAGGAAACAAGCAGGACGCCGTGAGGTCACGTGAACCAAACCCACCCGTTAGATACCGTCCACCGCGGCCAGTAACGGTCGGACCCCGGCGTACCGATCGGGTTGGAGGCGGCGATGACGGTGCACCGTGCCTGCAGCGAGGTGACGATGCCGGCCTTGGAGATGGAGATGCTCTGCTGCTCCATGGCCTCGTGGATGCTCGTCCGGTCCGCGTCGTTCATCTAGAGGACGAGGCGGCGTTCGGGTCAGAGGTTTGTTCTCGGAGCGGCGGCTGGCGTTTCAGGGGGAAGCTTCCTCTCACCTTGTCGAACTCGTCGATCAGGCAGACGCCGCGGTCGGCCAGCACCAGCGCCCCGGCTTCCAGCGTCCACTCGCGGCTGACCGGGTGCCGCTGGACGTACGCTGTGAGGCCCACGGCGGAGGCCCCCTGTCCCGTGGTGAAGACGGCTCGGCTCGCCACCTTCTCCACGTACCTGACGACACAACCGGTTCCATCAGAAACTCTTAAATGAGGAGGAAGAGCTTCAAATTCAACGGAGGTGATGTAGAGCGGGTCTGCTGAGGTCCACAGAGCTCCTCCCACATCTCGGGCAAGGACACTTACTTGAGGAACTGGGACTTGGCGGTTCCTGGATCTCCACACAGCAGAACATTGATGTCTCCTCTCACCTTATGCTTTCCTCCTGAAGGAGACAGGTCGGTGAGCGACAGGAGGAGTCAGATAGAACCAGCCCGTTTCCACGGCAACGGTACCAACCTGGGTTCTTAGGTTCTCCTCCGAACAGGGCCAGAGCCAGACCTCTCTTGATGTCCTCGTGGCCGTAGATGGACGGCGCCATGCTGGCGAAGATCTGCAGAGGAACGAATGTCATTATCGATTTGTTGCGCCGCGCGATTCTTAAGTCACTCAATGAGATAAAATAAAAAGAGCCGAGCCGACGTAGAGGAAGGAGCAGCTGTTGTGAGTCACATGACGCAGGCAGGAGACGTCTGGTCGACTTAAGTCGTCCAACGCGTGCGAGCGTTTCACACTAGAAACATTTTAATGGCAAAATCAACACGGCGCTGAAGCGCCACGTTGTCCCGCTTTGACGTGAGGAACGTACCTCCAGCAGGCTACAAGCTAGCGTTAGCTCGACCGATTAATCGTTTATCAAAATAATAGTTAGTCGCAGCCCTAAAAGTAATGAGTAATCACTTTAGGAAACGTGTATTTCAGACACTGTTCTTTAGTTGTTAATGTTATTTTAAACAAAACTCGCCTCATGTGATCACGGCAGCAAGCTTAACATAGCAGCTAGCTTAGCATAGCTGTGTTTAGAGTGGTTTGTTTGTCACTCACCCCCCTTGTGAGTAATTGCGCTCTCTTCCTGTATGTCGCGTCTCTGTTTCAATGTAAAAAGCTCTCTGCGTCGTGATGTAACAGATTGCAGCCGTTTGTGTCCGCCGACAACTTCCGATTTAAACCAGAAGTAAACAAACTACGTTAACTACGTTATGATATTTTGTTGCATTAATCGCATAGATTAATGACTTTGGATTTGGTCTTCTGTCAGGATCAATAGAACAGTGGGTTCTGATTTGTGATTTAGGCCCCGCCCTCCTCACCCGCTCCCCGATGCGCTCGTCCTTGGAGAGCGCCACGATGGCCTTCACGTCCTCGTCCGTCAGCTCTGCCACGGCCACACCCTGATCCCTGCGGGTCACGTGATTGGCCAAGATGACGGTGGCGAACACGGGGAAGCCGTTGGCCATGTTCAGGGACCCGTCGTAGTTGTTGTGGTAGATCCCCGTCAACTCCTGGGGGAGGGACAAACACCATCAGCTCCACCTGCAGGAGGTTCAGCCTCTCCTTGTGACATCACACCTCGAGACTCACAATCTCATCCCCCGGCTTGCATTGGTCCACCAGGTCGGCCAATAGGATGGCGTCTTTGGAGCGGGGGAGGCGGCCTGCAGCCACTTTGCCAGGGCTCTCCTGCACGGTGATCCTCTGGTAGTTCTGGTACACAGTCTGCACAGGAGGGGGGGGGGGCAGTTAGATCCTCCCGACTACACCCTCCTCCTCCTCACTATCCACACCCTCACCTCCTCCTCCTCCTCCTCCTCCTCACCACACTCACCTCCTCCATGTTGATCTCAAAGGGGCCCATGGACTGGCACTCGGGGCAGGAGCCCGGCTTCACCTCCTGGTTCTGGTTCTGGAAGAAGGGCCCCAGCACGAAGCTGCACTTGTTGCAGTTGTACTTGACCATGCCGAGTTGTGGGAGCACGCCGGTGCAGCTGCTCACCACGCCGCTGGTCCGGATCAGCTGGTTCAGGTGCAGCTGCCTTCAGGGGGAAAGAAGATGTTACCCACAATCCTCCTCTTCTTCATCAATCGTTTGTTATAAACATGTACTGCTGTAGACGCAGACGTCTCATTCGGCTGGTGTTTGATTGACGGCTGTCAATGAGTTAAGAAAAAATGGCTAATTAATCTCACATTTTGAAATTCATTAATCAATTAATGTTGTTTTTATTGAATGTTTGTTTTTCTTCTAAAGACTAAATCTTAAGTAAAGTAATGAGTAATCACTTTAGAAAGCGTGTATTCTAGACCCTGTTGTTTAATTCTTAATGTTATTTTAAACACAAAACTACACACATTTGATCTCTGAGGCAAAAAAGATGTTTGAAGTACCACATTTAGCAGGACGTTTTCAAACGACGTCCTCTGCAGACCGTGTGCAGCGCAGGGTAACGTCACATGTTGTGATGCAAGTAGCCTTGCAGCTAGCTTAGCATAACAGCTAGCTTAGCATATTTGCTGGGGACACACGGGGATCCCCGCCACATTAATGCACTTATGTTGATGGCCCTAGTTTTATTCAACACATTTACCCAGAAGGCTTTGCAGTGCGAGTGGATCTCGGAGGTCAAACAGTGATGCTAAGCTTGCTATATGTGAAGAGGTTTCCGTGTATTATTACACAGAAAGTACACGGTACCTGAGGGAGCGGATCTCCTCCACCAGCGGCAGGTTGCAGATGCGGACGTGGATGTCGTGGGCGATGCGGTCGTATTTGGGGTACATGGCCAGCACCACCTCTTTGGCTGCTTCATCAAACACCTAGAAGACACAGTCATGAGTCCCAGATCGGTCTCCATGGATACCGCGTCGTTCCATAGCAGCCCAACAACCAGGACTCACCTTCAGCATCTCCGTGGGGGCTTCTGGCAGGAAGTAGGCCAGCACGTGTTCTCTGGCTGCCAGGTCCTCGTAGTTCACCACCAGGCTCTCCTTGTTCTCTGGAGCACAGGACCACATGATCACACCACCACCTAAACCCACACCTCCATCTCTCGCACCTCCCCCTCCACCCGAGGCACACACACCTTTACACATGTCGCTGATCTTCTCTTTGAAGACGTTGTGCCCGTTCTCGTCCACGTGCGTCCGGAGGAAGTTCTTGAAGCGGTTGTAGATCTCCAGCCGAGGAGCCGCCATGGAGACCCACTCCCTCACCGTGTGACCCTGCAGATAGGAGTAGGGGAGGTGAGCACGCCATGAGGGAAGCCACACGACATCAGTGGATAAGTATCAGTACCTTCATGTCCTCCAGGTTCTCGATGCTCTCAATCATCTCCTCGTCCTCTCCCTCCGTTGCTCCCTCGGCTGCCCGCTCGGCCAGACGCCGTCGCCGGGCCGCCGGCCGCTCGTCATCTTCATCCTCGCTGTCTAGACGACAAAGGACGTTTGATTCACTAAAGAGCTCATTAAGAAAAACACATCTGGATCTCGTGTGTCCAGCTGGGATTCAGGTCCACCAGGTATTATATAGCTCTCGCTATCGACGAGGAGAATACAACCAGAGTTTTATCATTAGATAATCAGAATAGACTTCACTTCCTGTTCCAACAGGAAGCAGCTCCTCCGTAGAGCAGCCCCTCCTCAGCCTCCCGCTGACTCCCTGCTCCCTGTCCCTCCTCCTCATGGCCTCCTCGGCGGCGGCTCGGGCTCCGGGCGACATCTCCGACAGCTCCTCGTCGTCCAGGTCCAGACCTTCGGCCTCGTACTGGTCCAGAGCCGGGATGGCTCGGTAGTCCCTGAGAGGAGAGACACACTCAGAACCGCTCTGACGCACAAAGCACCAGAGCCGCCCGGCGCCGCCCTCACCTCTCCATCCCGTCCCCGATCAGCTCCTCCCCGTCCCCGTCCTCCTCCTCCTCGGGGAGGAGTGCGTCCCCCAGAAGCCCCTCGGACTCGTCCTCGAAGGGAGGCAGGTCTCGTCCAGGGCTGGATGTCATGTCTCCTCTGCGGGAGGCTCGGGTCGGGCTGGTGGCCACTTGGAAGGACTCGGAGGAATCCTGAGAGCGCAGAGAGGTCAGTGCACGAGGTACTAGTACACAGAGCGTGACTGCACGAGGTACTAGTACACAGAGCGTGACTGCACGAGGTACTAGTACACAGAGCGTGACTGCACGAGGTACTAGTACACAGAGCGTGACTGCACGAGGTACTAGTACACAGAGCGTGACTGCACGAGGTACTAGTACACAGAGCGTGACTGCACGAGGTACTAGTACACAGAGCGTGACTGCACGAGGTACTAGTACACAGAGCGTGACTGCACGAGGTACTAGTACACCTGCCTGTGCCCCCCCAGGGTTCTATCTGATGGAGGCTCCACCTGATGGAGGTGGTCCCTGCAGTGGTCCTGCCTACACCTGGCTCACTACTCTCAACCCGAATATTTGAATCATTTGTGTGCAGGAATTGAACGTAATGTCCGTCGTCTACGTCCCGTACACGTGACCTCTGAGGTTCTCTGAGGTTCACTGAGGTTCACTGAGGTTTCTTTTCTCCCCATCGAAGGGTTTTTATTGTCAGGGGAGTTTTTCCTGTGTCGATGTGAGAGAGGATGTCGCGGAGGCAAATTTGTAATTTTAGGTTATACAAAATAAATAAATTGAACACAAGTTGTGTATGTAACTTGTGTCACGTACCTATACACACACATTAACATAAATAATGAGGTAAACATGAAGCTCAGCCACATGGTAACTTTAGAAGGAAGAATTAATGGGATCTGAGATTAGAGAGACAGAAGAAAGAGGCATCTGAGTTTATAACTTTAACTAACGTTACATTTTAATGTGCGATTAAAGAGGAAAATGGTCTTTGTTGTGATGAGAACAAAAGACAACGTCACACTAACCAAACTTTGACTAACGTTACCTCCTTTTAACTCTTTGAACTAATCACGTTTGATTTAAATCTACCGCTTTACGTTTAAATCTATACTTCCACCTCGTTAGTCTGTTTTTAGACGTTTCCACTCACCGCCATTGTTGCTCTTCAGTCTTTTTCTGCCTCAACTGAACAAACTTCTTCCTGTCGGAGGATCTTTTCGCGCGGAACAACCACGTGACACTCATAGCCCGCGAAAATTAATGAATATTTAAATAAACTCCGACGTTCCGTTTCTTTATTGGTCGGTCGGATTTAAAGAGGCGGGGCTTAAAGGACCGAGCGCTTGGTTTGTTGTGAACCGCTGGAGAGGTTTGTGTGGTCCGTGTGAAGCTGGGCGGGGATGAGGGGCGGGTCAGCAAAACCAGCGCACCCGTCTCTGAGCGTCGCAGCACGGGTGGAGTTTATGACGTAACATTTCTTCCCGGGAAAATTCGTGGCGATTATGAATCCGTTAGGACACATCTGAGAAGCAAATGTACTGATCCAAATTTGAGATGGAACAGAGAGGTTGTGTGTATGCAAATGTGTAGAAAATGGTAAGTAAGTAATCAATACATATAATTCTAATTCAAATGCAACACAATAATAAAGAACACAACATACACTAATCTTTGCTCCCATGAGGATTCATCCCACGGGAAACATGAATAAGTAATTAAACAGTCAGAGACCAACATTCCTTTGGGTTTATCTTTTGAGAGCACGACTACATGTAAAAAACACTTATGGTTTAAGATTATGGCATTTGGGAAGAAGTCAGAAGGATTCATCCTCTGCACAAATTCATGGCTGTCAGTCCAAAAGTGTTTGTCTCGTTAATGTGGAAGCTTTAGTTCACGGCTGAAAGCTGCATGAATATAAAATATAATATATATATAGAGCAATTCTGCTGATTATGAGGGGGTCGTCGTGGCGCAGGGGGGTAGAGCGGGTGCGCTGGAAACCGCAAGGTTGGTGGTTCGAGTCCTGGCTGCCCCATGTCTCAAGTCGAAGTGTCCCTGAGGAAGACACCTGACCCCTAATTGCTCCCCAGGCAAAAATGTAAAAAAAGTGTAATGTAAGTCGCTTTGGATAAAAGCATCTGCTAAATGACCTGTAATGTAATAATATCACAGTTCAACCAGTTCAAACCATTTTAATATCTGTAACAAAAAACATCACATTCATATGTTCATCAAATACCACAGAAGAGCTTGTCAACACAAATACAAAGCATCAGAAAAGAGCGAATAAATTAACACCCACATGGTTAATGTTTGTAATTTTACATGAACACCAAATAAATAATTAGCCCGTAATGTAGAAATCATTTCAAGGGATCATTTTTTTGTAAGGCAGAATTATTTTCACAATTATGAAACAAATGTCTGTGGCCATCAGAGGACACATATTAAAATGTCCCAACACGTCTCATCAGGGTTTATTTAGAAAAGTGTAAATTAATTCCAATCAGACAATTATCTGTAATAGTTTATCACATTATTGTTTCCAGTAATCTTAAGCAGCATTGTCAAAGAGTCAGTGTGGAGTCAACATACTCCCACAATGCAATGCAGAAAGAAACAATCTAAACTGCAGGGGAGAACAAAAGAAAGATGTTTGTATAAAGTACTCAGATGAGTATTATGTACATGAGCAGTCCTCGCCCCCGTGAGGCCTTTGAATGCGTTAGTGGTCAACAGGAACCAAAGCAGAAGATGACTCGTGTAAGTCTTGTGACTTCAGAGCGTCCCCCGTGCAGCCCACAGGCTCGAGGTGCAAGTGACGCTTCAAAATAAGAGCGCTTCAGAAAAGGAACACAAAGCACAGTTGTCGTGGGATTTGTTGGGGGAAAATGTGTTGATCTGCACATTGCGGTTACGTCTCTGCACGATAGTGTGTTCATGTAGCGTGTTGGGACTTCTTTGCAGTTGACGTCGTACCAGACAGACGCTGTGAAGGCCCCTGATCCTCCTCAGTTTGGGTTTGTTCCCTTTGAGGTCCACGCAAGACCTCCAGCTGTGGCTCCAGCTGCCGGGGGACTTTTTATTTCAGCACCAGCGTGGCTTCGGAGCCGTCTTTCCTCTTCAGGTAGAGGCCGTAGCTGAGATGGTGTTCTCTCCTCAGGAAGGCGTAGAAATAATCCGACACCAGCAGAATCTGAGGAGAACAACATAAAGAAGTAGATTCAAGTATGAGGAGGAGAACAAAAGATCATCATCAGGCAAAGAGGAAGGAAGGCGTCGATCAGAAGGTTGACCTTTAGGCTGGATTTGAATTGTCAAAAAATGATTCCTTAACCTCTGTGGAAAACATCCCGGGGTCAAGGAGAGATGGTTAGGAGAGTTGATGAGGAGTTAGGAAACAGGTCCCAGTCTTTAGCTGAAGTAATGAACTGGTTCCACCTTGTCGTACACAGCTGAAGACGTATTTATGGACTTCCTCTTGTATGAGACGAGGCCCGTGTCCCGGGTGTCCTACCTGCGCCACGTTGAACAGCAGCGTGATGGCGTAGTAGAAGTTGGAGTTGGCGCTACCGGCGTAGATCCAGAGATGCCAGAGGACCGGGAACAGAGCAGAGCAGGCGAGCAGGACGCAGGATACCAAGAAGATGTTCCTCAAGACTGAAACCAGGACACCTCACATCAGGCACACAGCACATATACAGATAAAACACATAAAGTACTAAAGGAAGAACCCTTGTTACGCCCAATAACACACTCACATCTGTGCAGGTGACTCCACACGGGGAGGAAGGCCAGGTAGAGAGAGATGTCTCCCACAGTGGGGTAAGACTTAAAGATGGAGATCACAGCCAATTGCATGAAGATCAGGAACACCGGATGCTCTCTGAAACACAGACAGGGATCAAAGGGACGGACAGATGAGGAAAAAGGACAGAAGACAAACGTAGGAGGACCTACTTGAGCCTGAAGGACTCTGGGATGGAGGGACAGAGGGAGGACTTACTTGAGCTTGATGGACAGAGGGAGGGTGTAGAAGAAGACGTTGATCTGGAAGACACACAGGAAGAAGAGGCGGAAATGTTCGAACATCTCGGCGAAGAAATCCCAGAAGAGGCCGATGTTGGGGGTCAGGTCCGGCACCGAGAGACTGGTGGGAGGGGAGAGACAAGCGGTAACCATGACTACAGCAGGACGTGACAGTAGAGTAAGCGGCGCACTACACTGCACGTTGTGAGATGAGGATTCTCACTGTTAGTACGGGGGGGACTCACATGAAGCCGTAGACCGAGGGAAGGTAGTCCCAGAAGCCCAGCAGGAAGAAGGACAGGCCCACCAGGACCAGCAGGCTGCCCAGGTACATGAAGGCGTATTGAGCCACGAACCACCAGAAGCTGAACCGCCGGACAGTTCACCGGGATGTACTGACGCTGGGGGGGGGGGGAGAGGGGGGGTCAGCGAGCGGCTAACGTGGTCAGCAGACTCTTTAAACGTGGCAGGACTCACCTGCATCAGGTAGAGCAGTGCGGCGGCGCTCAGGGTCAGGGGGTAGATGGACTGGTAGGTGGCCAGAGACAGAAAGATGGCGCTCAGCAGCATGTTGCCTGAGACACAGGAAGACGCCATGAGAACTACTATAAAGCAACAATGTCCCTCTTTGATGGGAGGCGCCCGTCGGCCATGTTGTCCCAGTGACAGTAAACGACGCCTGAATCTCACGGTGGTACAACGTTTCCAACCATTCCGTCCGTCGTACCTTTGACGGTGGACAGGATGAAGAGGGCAATGACGGCGTTGTTCAGGCCGCAGGTGGACTTGGCGACGCAGGAGAGGACGGTGAACGGGTTCAAAAGGTAGCTGAGAAAGAAGAGGCGAAGCCACAGCATCACACAGGAAGGATACTGACGTTAGATAGAGATGGAAAAAGTCAGTCCCATGATACGGATGTTTGTCCTTCAGAGCTTCTTTCAGATGGATTCTGCTCTGGTAATGTGTGGTATGACATCACCGTGGGTTACTCACCACATGGCCACCTTCAGGGGGATGTAGTACATTTCTCCGGGGCTCCTGATGAGCTCCAGACAGTCCAGCGGGTAGCGGTCAGCCTCCAGCGCGTACTTCTGCTTCCTGAACTGCAGCCGCCACAGTTACCACGGCAACACAACAACGCGCGACAGAACAGCAAACAGGGAGCGTTTCTAACCGTTGACTCCACAAGGAGACGGTAAAAATCCTCCTTTAATATCTGATGACATCAGGACCGCAGAGACCAAACTGTAGCACTTAAACTGGACTTATAATGGTTCTTATCTATAGCAGGTTGTAAATTGGCTTATTCGATGAAAATGCACTTTCTTGTTTCTTGTTCTTCTGAGTTTGTTTCCTTATGATTAAATGCACTTCTCGTGACATGTGATGTAATGTAAATGTATTTTCTTACCACTTGTTTGTTGTAGTCCTTCACGGCCATGTAGAGGGCCACCGCGGTGATCACGTCCGCCAGCTGGAGGGACGCGGCATCAGACACATTATTATATTATTTATTTACTTGACATATGTGGAATAGGAGCGCTGGTCACCATGAATGTGATCTCTGCGTAGTCCACCAGGAAGTGGAAGAGGTAGATGATGAGAGGAGTCTGAGGAGGAAGCACATTCACCTGAAGCATCAACACACACAAAGACATATCGTGTTCTTCAATAAACGCTGTGCGTGTCTCACCTCGTGGAAAACATCTCCAGAATACGGTGAGACTCCCAAATCCAGCAGAGCCAAACCTTCCACGACTGGACACAAACAAACAAACAAACAAACAGAAACTCTCTCGTTAAGCGCCAAAGACTGTATTATTCTTTAAACGTTAGTGGGGGTTCTAAATGTAACCGGCTGACACTTTATTTGCAGCTAAACCGGTGACCGACTAAACACGGCGACAGCAGCAGGGCGACCGGACCGGTGTCCCAGCGATGAGTCCCCCCGGTTACCTCTCTTCCAGGCGGTCAGCGGAGACACCACCTCCACTCGCTCCGAGACCAGGTCCGCCACACCGGACCGGTACAGGACGGCGCGGATCGTAACGGCTACAATCAGCAGCAGTGTCATAGGAGCCGCCATGTTGACGAGGAAGTGCTCTACGCCCTGCGCGCTGCATGGTGGGAAATGAGGTTCTTCCTAGTTGTGAAAAAAGCCGGGCGGGACTCCAAACGCAAATGTACAGAAAAATCACTGTCGAGAAATTGGTGGACAAATTGGTGTTTTCAACTATTACTTTTATTATTATTATTATTTTGTTAAGCTATAAATAATTATAATTCATATTTTGAGTTGTTTTATTACTGGATATTACTGGTCTTTGGGAAGTATCTTGGATTAGTGTAACTATCATGTAAATCATACATTCATAACACTACTTATTAATATCTAACTCGGTGTTCGATCAACCTTATTTCATACTGAAGGTCGAATGATAAACTACATTTTCAATAGTCTCACGTTTTTTACAAAGCGGAACTAATAACCCTCACATGTTTTTCCCGGAACTATTTATGCGCTGGATCTAAACAATCTAAACATTTGCACATAAATAGATAAATAGGTATATTTGCAAGCATGTAAAGGATATACTTTTATCCTTTTACCATTACCAGCTTCAAAACAAACCTTCCCTAAATATTTTCTGAGGTAAAGAAAAACTTTCATGCTCGTTAGTATCATTATTGCAGCTGTTATTATTGTATAATTACTCTTCTATGACGTTGAATAAACAGCTGTACAGTACAAGTACATAAAACTGCAATAAAAAACGAAACTGACACGGGTCAGTAAAGAAATAAACAATGATTAAAAACAAACGGCATAATAATCTCAACAATAACATTAAAACGTGTTTAAATAGTTTACTTGCTTTAACGTTTTTAGCTGTCGGTCATAATTGAGCCTTTTACGCTGAAGGCTGTCAACCGGAAGCGGCTGCATCAACCGACAGTCGCACTTCCTGCGCAAAAGGAAACTTTCGTCCCTGAGTTGATCGATGTTGTCATAGTTATCATGGCGGGCCTGGAGGTGCTGTACACCTGTGTGGGCCGCAGCGTCACCTGTCCTCAGGACGCCGTGGTGTGCTTCGTCCACTGGGAGATGATCAAGAGAGGCTTCCGGTGCATCGGCTCCGGAGACGAGGTAAAGGAGACCCCCAGGGACCCCCAGCGACCCCCTGTAAACTGCGCGGATGAGCGCGAGTCAGGTTTAGCCGAGAGCTCGCACCTCAGCAACACAGCGCAGAGGAAGGGTATAATGACTGTAACACGTTAGTATTCATCAGTGCATTTGAAAAACTTCATCAAACATGTTCCCACTGAAAATAGTTTAAGTTAAAACGGTTAGTGCTAACGTTAACTTAGCTATCGGAAGAGGTTCGTAGATCCACTCATTTTAAACAAAATATTTGCTGCTTTAAGAATTATTCATACGCCGAATTAAAGACCTGCTCTTCAACTGTCCGAGTTTGTATGTTTGTGGTGTTTTAGTGAGTGTATTGACGTTTGCTCTCTGGATATAAACTGAACTGCGTTGTTTTTCGACGGAGTTCTGTCATCATCTGTATTAGCATTAGCTTCATGAGCATCGCCGATGTCATCGAGCTCCACGCGACTGTTAAACCTTGTTTGATTGTTCTTTAGCGTTAGATGCAGAATCAAAATCCCAGACTCAAAATAGAGTTTGTATCAGGCGTTTTAGAAACTGTCACGTCACGTTTAGCTAATGTTAGCTAAGCTAAGCTAGTGTTCCCTACACCCCAGCAAACCAACTGGCCACTATATAAGTTATGATATATATATAGTTTATATGATATGATTATGACAGTGACATAATGACTCATTGATCCCCGTTGCTCCTCCAGCCTCTCAGCAGTGATCAGAAGTCCGAGCTGCTTCCTGCTGACTGGAGCAGCAACAAAGAGTTGTACAGTCTGCGATATACGACGAAAGATGGTGACTCGCAGCTGCTGCTCAAAGCCATCGCTGTTGACTCCACCTTGATCTTCAACCTGTTGGTAGGAACATCTGAGGGGTGTACTTCAGTGTGTTATGTGGGTTCTATTTTATTTTGAAAATTCTCCGTATAACATGCTTTGTCCTCTGGTTTTTGTGTGTGTGAAGAACTCCGTCACTCAGCAGGTGTCGGACCTGACCGTGAACATCAGCGACCATGTGGACTCTGATCAACTGCACACATTCCATAGGTTGGTCTGTGCGTGTGTTCGAATAACTCACAGCTTTTATTTTGAAGTTCTCTCTAGAACCATGGTTTATCCCCATGTTCTCCTCAGCGTATTCAAGGAGGCGGACGGTCTGGCGGAGAAGGTGAGGACCCAGCTGCTGCCCCCCCAGGATGGACCATCTGGACAGAGGAAGAGTCTGAGGGAGGAGGAGGAGGAGGAGCAGAGGAGAAGAAGAAGAGAGGACGGCGACCCCCTTCGCATCCCAAACAGGCAGCCTCGTCACGGACCACCCCCCCACTGGTCCGTCTCACCTTTAGAAAGATGAAGGAATTGAAACTTGTGTGTTTAGCTTCAACCTGTTTGTTCTTTGGTGGAATCGGTACTCCTGCAGATTTAGGTTATCAATAAGTCTTAATGAAGAGCTTCTTGTCTCCAGGCGGGACCCTATGGCGCCTCCCTTCTCAGCTGGTGGAGCAGACCTGGATCCTTTTGGGTGAGTCAGGATGAATCATGACATTGTTTATTGATTCAAACAGGAGTTGTTTCACAATAAAAGCATCCAAAAAATAACAACCTGAGCTGATCTTCAAACAGAGCTCAGATAGAAAAAGGAGGTTAATCTGGAATACCCCCCCCCCCCTCCCCCTCTCCAGGACTCGTGGAGGTGGCGGAATGATCGTGGACCCCTTGAGGTCGGGGTTTCCTCGCTCCGGATTCGACCCCTCTAGCGGGATACCAGACATCCTTCCTCCCGGAGCGGTTCCCCCGGGGGCTCGCTTTGATCCGTTTGGACCCCCAGGACGCCACAGGCCCGGGTGACCCACACACCCCAACATGTGTTATGATAATTATGTAATGAAGTGATGTTGTTAATATGTCGGTATTTCTTTTTAGGCCGGATCCGGACCACATGCCCCCGCCTGGCTATGACGACATGTTCATGTAGTACTTACTTCCTGTCCTCCAGCCAAGTGGGAAATGTCATCTTCTCCTGGTTGAGTGTCCTGGAGCCAGAGAAACATTCTCCTCTTTGTTCATAAGTAATAAACTGGTGTATATAACATGTGTAGAAGTACCTTCTCTTCCTGGCAGAGGTACCTCAGCAGGCGTTTCTTGAGATTTTATTGTCTCATAAGTTATTCATAAATAAAGTCTGATATCACACATCTTGTTCTCCATAGTTTTTGTTTGGATTATTTAACAAGTCATTCACTTAACATTTCTTTCATGTCAGCAGAGAGATTCAACAGGTTAAACAAGAGGGAGGGAATACCCAAACAACTAGAGTGAATTGGATATTAAATATGTTCCAAATGAATGAATCCAAAAGTTTTTCTTGGTGTGCAGGATGGGGGAGACAGCCAGTGAGGGGGTCTGGGCTTTGTTGATGAGCCCAACTTCTAACAGGAAGAAGCTTTTTTGCGGGGAGTTCTTTATTCTGACAGAGGGATTAACAATTTATTGTAGGTGGTCAGCTACGATGCTCCTGCCAGAGGGGAAGGACTCAACTGGTTGTCCAAGGGTGCGGGTGGGAGGTATTTACAGTTTCATAAGTGATGTTTCTTACAAAGAATGTTCAGGACTTAAGTAGGAAGACGCTGTCTGTCTCTGACCAGAGTCAGAATCCACAAAATATTCCAAAAATACTAGGTCGTAAAAGGAAAAAAAGTTAATATATGTTAGGTCCAAAAATCATTTGAAAAAAAGTCATCAAATATAAGTTTGAAAAATAAAAAGAAAGAAAGCAACGTCAAAATATGTGGACAAAAGTTATGGGAAAAGAAGTGAAAAAGAAATCTAAAAAATGTTTTGAAAAAAAATATCAGGTTCAAAAAAGTAAACCTTTAAAAACGTTTGTAAAAGAAGTCTCATGAGTGAGGTGCAAACGGGTTCTGAAAAACAAGTTAAAAAAATTAGGTCGAAAAAGTGTTTAAAAAAAGTCAAAATATGTTATGTTGACGATGTCATGAAACAAAAGTCAAAATATATTTGGGCAAAAAATGTTTTGGAAAAAAAGTCAAAAAAAGATTTGGTCGGAAAATGTTAATTTAATAAATAATAAATAAATAGACGTGACTCGACGACGCAGACGCAGAAGCATGCGCCGGCCTTAAGTCGGGGTGAGGGGGCGCATCGCGGATGGCCCCCACCAAACACACGCCATCACTGTTCCCTGGCGGCTCCTCGTGAACCATCGCAGCCACGCTTCAGTTGTTGATGTTAGCTTGTAGGTCCTAACAGAGCGTGAAGGAGCTGAGCTCCTTTAAATGACCTGCCGCCCCTTCGTGGACATGATTGGACGTCACAAGCCATGTGACTGACGAGGAGCCAATCGTTGCACGGCAGAGCTCGCTGGCCGTGGTTGAGGGGGCACCTCTCTTGTCGCGTCTGATTAGTCGTCACCCGTCCTCTTTTCGCGCCAATGCGGTGCATTGTGGGGGAAAGTTAGCGGAAGTCCGCCCGATCGTGTTGTGTTGTGTTGTGCTGTGCTGTGTGTTGTTGTGTGAGTTGTCTATGTGTCTCCGGGTGTTTTGTGGAGGATTTCTGTTTTTAGGTTAAACTTTAAACGAGAGTTTGTAGGAATGCGGGGCGAAGAGTCGTCCGATTCCGAGTGCGGAAGGATGGAGGAGAGCTCGGTGCGGAGGAGCCTGGAGACCTTGTGCCAGGAGCTCAACATGGACGAGAGCACCGCCTCGGAGACCATGGACAGCTTCTCTAGCATCTGGAACACCTACACCCTGGAGGTGAGTGCTGGGGTTCTCAGGGCAGCAGCTCCACCCGGGAGGTGTCCTCAGGTACTCTAGTACTCTACTATGGTGGCTCTAACGTTACTGCCTGGAGTCCTGTCGTATAGTGCTGTAATAGTACTGTTCTCTAGTATTGTATTCCATTACTGTTCTCTAGTAATTACTAAATGATCTCAAATGCAACTAACATTAAGTACGAAGCAGCTCAAAGACAGAGGTCAAAGGCCACGGGGACAAGACAATTAACTGTGGGGTCACGTTAAACAACATAAGAATTAATTATTATTTTTATTTTGTTACATGACTTAAAAAACCTCAGATCAACAGAGAATCCATGAATTACAGAATGTCGGTGTGTGTTCATACTCCGTGTGTGCAGGGCGAGGTGGTCCACTGGCTGGCCTGCTCCCTGTACGCCGCCTGCAGGAAGGGCTCCACGCCCACCGTGGGCAAAGGCCTGATGGAGGGCAACTGTGTGTCGCTCACCAGGATCCTCCGGACCGCCAAGCTCAGGTCAATTCACGACATGACAATGTCCTCACAGAGCCCGAACCTCCACCCGTTAGCCGTTAGCCGCTACGCCCCTTGGTCTGTGTGTGCAGAGATGAGAAAAACATCGAGGATGTCGTCATCCCTGATTTGTTACTGCATCTCTAAGTCAACAAAACCAAGTCGAGGTGTAAATTATTCTTCAGGTGTTCTTCAGAGAGACATAGAGAGTAATAAACAGAAGAAAGCTCCAGGAGATTTTATAGCCGTAATATACGGAAATATTATTGACTTCAAAAAAATTGGTACGGCAGCCGCGATGTAAAGAAGATAATTTGATAATCATGACTTGTTGAAGGATGCTTTTATTGTGAAACCCTTTGAAGCAGGACGTTTCTTTATCTCATAGCCACGACGTTAATGTTGTGGTTCTGTCCCCCCTCAGTCTGATCCAGTTCTTCTCTAAGATGAGGAAGTGGGCCGACATGTCGAACCTCCCCCAGGACTTCAGGCTCCGGATGGAGCGCCTCGAGCGCAACTTCGAGGTCTCCACCGTCATCTTTCGCAAGTTCGAGCCCATCTTCATGGACATGTTCCAGGACCCGCAGGGCGGGGGGCGTCCCCGGCAACCCCGCAGCAGGAAGCACAGGCACGGAGCACACACGCTGTCTGTCTGTCTGTCTGTCTGTCTGTCTCACTCATTCACGCCCAACGATCGATGTGTGTCCTCTTTGTTTCTGCAGGCGTTTGCCGTGTCACATCAGCGACGTGTTCAAGTTCTGCTGGACTCTGTTTGTTTACACCAAAGGTACTGTGTGTGTGTGTGTGTGTGTGTGTGTGCGCGTATGATGTGCTGGATGCAGATGTTGTGTGCATATGACGTGCTGGATGCAGATGTTGTGTGCGTATGACGTGCTGGATGCAGATGTTGTGTGCGTATGACGTGCTGGATGCAGATGTTGTGTGCGTATGACGTGCTGGATGCAGATGTTGTGTGCGTATGACGTGCTGGATGCAGATGTTGTGTGCGTATGACGTGCCGGGTGCAGATGTTGTGTGACATGTTGTGTGCGCGCGACACGCTGGATGCAGATGTTGTTTGTGTCTTCCTGAAGGTAACTTCCGGATGATCGGGGACGACCTGGTGAACTCGTACCACCTGCTGCTCTGCTGCCTGGACCTTGTGTTTGGCAACGCGCTGCTCTGTACCAACAGGAAGGAGCTCATCAACCCCACCTTCAGAGGTACACTGTGTGTGTGTACCCATATTTTCATGATAGGGTTGATGTGCGTGATATGTGTTACGTATTGCATGGTGTATTGGTGTAGGTCTGCCGGCGCTCCACCCTGCTGGCGGCCTGCTGTCAGACGATCCTCCTCCGTGTGTGTTGGAGCGTCTCTGTGAGCTTCATGACGGCCTGGTGGTGGAGGCCAAGGGCATCAAACAGCACTACTTCAAACCCTACATCCAGAAGCTCTACCACAGAGAGGTACACACACACACACACACACACACACTGCTTCTTTCATCTGTTTGTTACGCACAACTCTAGCTTGGGTTCTTCTCCCTCATCAGATCCTGAAGGGCAACGAGGAGCATTTGACAGAACTGTTGGATCCTCAGAACTTTATTGATAACAAGTAAGCTGATCAGAGGTCAAAGGTCAGAGGGAAGTTACTCTTTCTCTCCTCCTCAGAATCAAGTCGTGCTTATGATGAAGTACTTGTGTGTGTGTGTGTGTGCGTGTGCGCAGTAAGGCCATAAACAGGGAGTACGAGGAGTACGTGTTGACCGTGGGAGACTTTGACGAGCGAGTGTTTCTGGGAGCTGACGCCGACGAGGAGATCGGAACCCCGAGGAAAGTCCTCCAGGGGCCGAGTCACATGAGCTCTCAGAGTCCACCACGTCAACACGTGGAGAAGGTGAACACACACACACACACACACACACACCACATGGAGAAGATATACACCTGTACACTTTACTTTTTCAATGTTTATTAAAAATACAGATTTTTAATCATGTTTCAATTAGCTTTAGGGTTATAAATAATCTGACATCACGTTTTCATATGGGGACTTTGTTTGCGAACAGCGTTATCAGCTCCTCACTGGGTAATCAGCGCCTTTCTCAGCCCGCTGCATTGAGAGCTTTGATGGGACGTGGGCTTTAAGGTCCCCACCAGGGAGACGAGGGGCAGCAGAGGAGTAAGTCCTCGTCCGAGTGGGGTCCCGCTTACAGCATCTCCTCAGGTGTGAGGAGAAGGAAGGAAGAAGGAGAATGCTGGAGTACGACTGAGGGGCGGAGCTACCGATTCATTGATAGAACCGAAATGTCCTTATTTGTGTGTAAAATGGCATTAACGTCTTTTTCATCTGTCTCCCTGCTGGCAGTCAGGTTCTCTTGCCCCACCCACCCCTCTGACTGGGCGGGGCTATCTGAAAGAGAAGGACCTGCTCGTCACCCCCGTCTCCTCGGCAACGCAGAGCGTCAGCCGGCTTCAGGGCATGGTGTCCGGCCTGAGGGCGTCTCCCAGCGAGCAGCTGATGCAGATGTTCAGGTCCGAGCATATATTTCATTTAGATATATATTAATATATAGGGGGCATATTATGAGTGTGCGTGTATATGTGTGTGTGTATATATATGTATGTATATGTATATATATATATATATATATATATATATAATATACATATACATATATGTTAGGGCTGGCAAAATTGCAGTCTCTCTCTCTCTCTAAATGAACGATAAACACATGCAGAGTGCTGATCAACGATCAAGAGTTTTGAGTAAGCAGTTTAATGTCGCGATTCTTGTCCCAAAGATTCAGTGATTGGAGCTGAAGGTTTTCCGCTGTGAGCGAGCTGAGCTGTGAACACGGAACCTTTCATTGCATTAAACGGCAGATAATCAAACCGGTGCATGAAGCTGTTGTAGCCGATCTAGTCTGTTTTATTCATGCGATATATTCAGTACAGGTGCGCCCCCCCGCTGAGCAGACAGACTGGGAAAAAGCGATTGCCCCCTAAACCCAATAACTGGTCGGGTCGCCCTGAGCAGCAACAACTGCAATCAAGCAATAACTGTCAATGAGTCTTTACAGCTGTGGAGGAACTGTGGACTCGTCTTTGCAGAACCGTTGTGATTCAGCCACATTGGAGGTTTGAGCATGAACCTCCTTTTTGAGGTCACGCCACAGCATCTCCATCGGATTCAGGTCGGGACTTTGACGAGGCCACTCCAAAGTCTTCATTTGGTTTTTCTTGGTGTTTTCCTGGTGTGTTCTGGATCTGCTGCAGAACCCAAGTGCTCTTCAGCTTGAGGTCAGGATCAGATGGCCAGACCTTCTCCTTCAGGACCTTTTGGTAGACCGCAGAATTCATGGTTCTATTTACCACACAAGTCTTCCAGGTCCTGAAGACCGTCACACCACCACATTTTACTGTGGGTATGAGGTTCCTTTTCTGAAGGGTTGCTTTTATGCGATGGGACACACACCTTCCAAAAAGCTCAGCTTTTGTCTCGTCCGTCCACAGAGTATTTTCCCAGAAGTCTTTGGGATCGTCAAGATGTTTTCTGGCTAAACTGAGCCTTGATGTTTTTTGCTGAGCGGTGGATTTCGGCCTGCAGGTCTTTGCATGTTGTTCTGGGGCCTTTGGTGACCTCTTGGATGAGTCGTGGGGCTCCTGAGAAGGTTCACCTCTGTTTGTGCTTCGCTGGAGACCCGAAGCTTTACAAATGACTTTGTTTCTCATTTGTTGAATTTCTTTGGATCGCAGCGTGATGTCGAGGATCTTTTGATCTCGTTCACCTTGTCAGGAAGGTGGCAAACATACAAACACTGTACATGTTGATATATTATTGATTTATATGTGTATGTATATACAGTGTGTGTACTTAAGAATACTCTCTCTGGCTGAAGGTCGTGCTCCAGGAATCCCACAGAGTCCATACTGGGCCGAGTGAAGACACTGGGACAAACCTTCAAGCACCATTACACCAAAGACTCCGAGGACATGCCGGGATCTCACATAGGTACTACACAGAGACCCACACACACACATTTCAGATATATATGTGTGTGTGTGTGTGTGTGTGTGTGTGTAAGATTTATCTTTATAAAAGAACCTCTTGTCTCCAGACTTTGCAGAGAACCGTCTCAAGTTGGCTGAGATCCTTTACTACAAAATCCTGGAGAACGTCCTGCTGCAGGAGACCAAGCGCCTCCACGGCAAAGACATGAGTGTAAACATCTTAGCGTGTCCCGTGTACCGTTTCTATTCATCCCTTGGAAATAGTCGATGTCCAAGCTCATTCAAGTTGTGTATTTTCCTGTTTGGGTTTCGTCCCCCGTGTGTGTCTGTCCTCCTCAGGTGCTGTTGGAGCAGGACATGTTCCACTGCTCCCTGGTGGCTTGTTGTCTGGAGGTGGTGTTGTTCTCCTACAGCTCCCAGAGGACATTCCCCTGGATCATCGACATCTTCAAGCTGACCCCATTCTACTTCTTCAAGGTCACACGCACACGTATACGAGCGCACGCACACACGCACGCACACGCACACACACACACGCACACACACACACGCACACACACACACACACACACACACGAGCACATCAATATTTGTCCATATGTCCTGGTTTGCTGTTATTCCATAAAAGCTGTCTGTGCGTGCAGGTGATCGAGGTGTTCATCCGCTCAGAAGAGGGCCTCTCTAGAGACATGGTGAAGCATCTGAACCTCATTGAGGAGCAGGTTCTGGAGAGCAGAGCGTGGAGGGCCGACTCTGCCCTGTGGAGCGCCTTGCAGGCTGCGGGTAGCAAGGTCCCCACGGTGGAGGAGGTCAGCGTGCTCCCAGACACACACACTCTCTCTTTCTGTCTCTTCTTCCTCCTCATCCTCCTCTTCCTCCTTCCAGGTGAACTTCCCCTCCAGCCTGGACACGGGTTCTGGCGGGGGGGTTCCATCTCACCTGCCCCTGGTCGCCCTCTCCCCCATCATCCACCCCCGCATAAGGGAGTTCAGATCCGGTCTGGGCAGCGCTCGTAAAGGTGTGTTGGGGTGTTTCCGACATTGTGGTCTGTCCTCAGTAATTAGGAGGACGTTGTCATGGTAACGTCACCTCGTTAGGGGTTAGGGTTAGGGAACTGTTCGTCCGGGAACAGGAAGTGACCACATCTGGAGTAGGGAGGACGTAGAAACACTGTATACGTCTCTGGTGGAGACCTGTCAATCGCTGTTGGCCCCGCCCCCAAAAGCGTCCCCTGCTTTATGGTCTGTTTGACTCTAAATGGACCATCATTCACTAAATGAACATCACGCTGTATTGAAGAAGACTTTAAACTAGAGACTGAGACCATAAACTCATGTTTACAATGTTTACTGAGGGAATAAATCAAGAGAGAAGTAGAGTCATTTCCTCATAGACGTCTATGGGAGCAGAGGAGTCGCCCCCTGCTGGTCACTACAGAGAAGTAGAGTCATTTCCTCATAGACGTCTATGGGAGCAGAGGAGTCGCCCCCTGCTGGTCACTACAGAGAAGTAGAGTCATTTCCTCATAGACGTCTATGGGAGCAGAGGAGTCGCCCCCTGCTGGTCACTACAGAGAAGTAGAGTCATTTCCTCATAGACGTCTATGGGAGCAGAGGAGTCGCCCCCTGCTGGTCACTACAGAGAAGTAGAGTCATTTCCTCATAGACGTCTATGGGAGCAGAGGAGTCGCCCCCTGCTGGTCACTACAGAGAAGTAGAGTCATTTCCTCATAGACGTCTATGGGAGCAGAGGAGTCGCCCCCTGCTGGTCACTACAGAGAAGTAGAGTCATTTCCTCATAGACGTCTATGGGAGCAGAGGAGTCGCCCCCTGCTGGTCACTACAGAGAATGCAGCTTTAACACGTGAAGCTCTGGATTAACTGCTATTTTTACATCTTTTTTCTTTTTCCAGACGTTCCTCCGTCTCCGTTGTCGGTCCATGACCGGTACAGCTCCCCGGCGGCTGGCAGCGCCAAGCGGCGTCTGTTCGGGGACGACCCACCGGCCCGACCCCCGTGCGTGACCCCAGGCAGCCAGGTGATGTCGCCTGCCAAGAGGTTGACATTCGGGTGCGGCGGCACCCTGAGGATCGGAGCTCAGAGCGCTCAGACCACCGTGCTCAGCATCCCGCTGCAAGGTCAGCCGGGCTGAGGCCTCTAAATAGGAAGAATACATTTCTATTATTAGTGTGAGATTCATGGTGGTGGGCGATGGGTGGTGGTACCCAGCATGCAGTTTGGCGTGGTCGTTTTTATAAATGTGCAATTATTAGTTGTTCTACAGATTGTTTGTGTGTTACAAGCTGTTTACCCTGTTAAAGAGTCTTTGTTGTGTGTTTTTCATTGTTGTCATAAAGTTCTAACCAGTACGAGCAGTAAGCCATGTGTACAGCAGGACCACCACCATCAGATAGGGGGGGGGGCACTTCATCGTTCCTCCTCCTCTTCCTCATCCATGGCTCACAGATCAAACCGTGCATGATAGTCAACCTGTGTGTCCAGGTGGGAATAACGAGCGCACCATCGCACTGATTCCAGTACAGCCGTGTGACTCCTCCGGGACGATCACCGCTCAGTTCCTCCTCACCGCCTCGCCGAGCCGAGCCCCCGGGCCCGTGACCTCTGACCCCCAGGTGGGAACCGCCCGGCCGCGACGCACTGGATCGCTCGCGCTGTTCTTCAGGAAGGTAAGGATCGTCTTCATCAGTTATTCAGGGGCGTGTCCGTGTGTTGGACCTTCCTCTCAGCCCTGCTCTCCGTCTGCAGGTGTACCACCTGGCCAGCGTGCGGCTCAGGGACCTGTGCGTGAGGATGGACGTCTCCTCCGAGCTGCGGGGGAAGATCTGGACCTGTTTTGAGAACTCGCTGGTCCACAGCACCGGTCTGATGAGGGACCGGCACCTGGACCAGCTGCTGCTGTGCAGCGTCTACATCGTGTCCAAGGTGAGCTCACACCTGTGCGTACCGGGCGATGCTTTACAGTGTGTACACATCCGACTCCCTCCGACCCCAAACCCTCATCGGCCGTCATGTGTAGAGCAGGAACCACGGAAATGACTCGGATACTGAGAGCAGAGACACACGAGACATTCATACGTTGTAGAAACGTCTAAAAACGTGTAGAAAATAACCCTTTTATTCCACACGTCTCATTTAAAATCTCTGATAAGACGCTGGTCCCCTGGTTACGCAGAGACCCAGATGTGCTCCACGTGAGTCGTGCAGATGTTTTGGTGACTTCTTTTGTGGCGTCTGACGTGGACGCACGCGTCGTCCTGCGTCTCACAGGAGCCGCGCAGCAGTCAGACGACACCACGCGCGAGATGAATCCATAGTTAGATTCAGCAGTGGCGTCTTCTGGCCGTGTTCTTCTAGTGAAACAGAATAGGTATTAAATTCAAACAGCAGTTTGTGTCCTTCTCTCCTCCACCTGGCGGAGGGAGGGGCACGATTCTCACAGGTAATGATCCTCTTCCTCGTCTTCCTCTCAGATCACCAAAGAGACTCACAGCTTCCACGACATCATGAAGTGTTACCGATGCCAACCGCAGGCCAGCAGCCACGTGAGACGCGCACGCACGCACGCACGCACGCACGCACACACACACACACACGCGCACGCACACACACTCACACGCACACACACACGCACGCACACACACTCACTCACTCACACAGACACTCAGAGTCCAAGTAAAGTCCCTCATAACTGAACCGTACGTGTGTGTGCGCGTCTGTGCGTGTGTGTGTGTGTGTGCGTGCGTGCGTGTGCGTGCAGGTGTACCGCAGTGTGTTGCTGCGCCACAGGGAGCAGGCGCCGGATGAGAACATGGAGGTGGATCCCGTCTCAGGGGGAGAATGTGAGCTTCCTTTAAGTGTCCTCATACGATATTAACGTGAATAGAAAGTGGCCACTAAAAACATCTCATCAGCCGCAGAGAAAACCGACGAGGGGGCGGGACCAGCAGGACCAGCCGACCAATCGGAGGAGCGTGGAGACCTCATCCAGTTCTACAACAGCATCTTCGTGCTGAAGATGAAGAGCTTCGCTCTGCGTTACGCCACCCAGGACCACCGGGTACGGGGGCCAGGGTCGGGGCCAGGGGGCGGGGCCAGTGCGCCAGAACCAGCGGTTAATGTGTGTGTGCTTGTCCCACAGGCCGACGCCCTCCCCCTGTCGCCCTTCCCCTCGGTCCGGGCTCAGCCTCTGTCCCCTCGCCGGGTCTCTCAGAGACACTCGCTGTACGTCTCTCCTCACAAGTCGTCCGCCTGCTGCCTCACCCCCAACTCCTTCACCTACCGCATCAACAGCAGCCCAGCCAAGGCACGGACTCCCACAACAATACCTACTAACAACAACGAATAGTATTATTCATAGCATTATAGTATAGGAACAGGCGACGGTCATGGTGGATGTAGGGCTGAGATATTTAGTTGATAGAAGATGGTCTTTATCAGCTGATAAACTCTAAGTAAGGGTGCAGGTATTAAATATGGATTCTAATGAGCTGTCCTCCCTCCAGGAGTTATCCGACATCAACCGGATGATCCGACAGGGCAGCTCCAGCAGGAAGCGCGCCTTCACCATGGAGGGGGACGTGATGATGTCATCAGCCTGCGACTCTCCCAGCAAGAAGGCGTGTCCAGAGAGCAGCAGCAGCGCCGACGTGCTTCTGAAGCGTCTCCAGGACGTCGTGTCGGAGCGACAGAGCCACTGACCTTAAAGAGCAAATTTGTCCCAGACAGGAAGCAGGAAGTTTGTCCTCCCTGCCTGCGACCAATAAAACGCTGGACTCACCCGGCGTCGCCCGACGTCGCCCGACCACATGTTGGTGTCACTGCTTTTACTTCCAGGTGCGATAACAGGAAGCAGCATGTTGGCTGTACTGTACATGGTTGGTGTTCAGGTGAGATGGAACACACTCATGAGGAGGGACAGCGTCTGTCTTTTGTCATGTGACCTGTTGCTAGGAGACGGGGCGTGTTTATAGCAGGCATTTCGGTGTCCCGTCATGCGTTATGCGATTGGAACGTACCACAACGCACTATAATGATTTCTGTGTCCTTTGTCCAGATTCCTGCTCGTCAGTTTACTTTGACGTCAGCCGTTTTATTCTTAAACTAACTGGTTTTTATCTTCGGTCTGAGCCACATTATGTTTGATGATGTAACAGAAGCAGAAACTGTGTAGCACCACACGTTATTCCGTTTAACATTTCAGGAAACAATAAACCATCGAACCTTTTGCGCTCAAAGCTTAATGAGTCAAATCTGTTTTTGTGCTTTTCTGAAATATTGTCATAAAAAGTATTTTGGACAATAAATGGAACTTTGAACAATTAGTGTTCATTAATTTGATTTCAATTTAATTCGTCATTTCTATGTCAGTGTGTATTATTAGAGACCTGTCAATCAGCGTGTAGCCCCGCCCTAAAGCATCCCCTGCTTATTGGGCTCTGGGTGAGAGGGATGGTTGTCTGTCTCCATGGAGACCAGGAGGACTGGAGCTTGTCTGATGTTCTTTATTCTTTTTACAGTAAGGTTGCTTCAGACACGTAAAAGCACATTTATGTAACGTAAGAAAAGAACTCATTACGCCAACAATATAAATATTCCCACATCCCAAATGAAAGTAATGCTTCCAAAATCAAAATGTATACGAGAAGATCTAAGTTATTATAATTTTAATTATCTGTGACGGTTTATCTGTTTTTCTATATATCTTTAATATATTATAAGACATGTTTTATAGCATTATTACCTTTCACCACACATTACATCTTAATTCCAAATGTACCATGTGTATATATGTTTATAGGCCACCTGCGCATGCTCAGTCCTCCTCCCCCTCCTCCCCCCTCCTCCCCTCCCCCACATGATCCGTCCTCCTCCGTCTCTCCGGACGCCCCGCAGAACCTCCTGATCCCCGCCGCGGCACCATCACGCCACCAGGTAGGTCCGCGCGCACGCGCTCTCCTCCCGATCAGCTGTCCCACTGTGACGCGTCGGTTACACCGGAGGATCCACCGGCTCGGCCCCGGTGGATCCTATCATCACGCATCACAAGGTCACGGCGGGAGACGGACGGACGGACGGACACCTCGTGCGCGTGCCCGCGAGCCTGGAGCTTACTGAGAAAACCCCACGTGTGATTTATATCAATAAAGGATCGCGTGTATCCGAGGATCCACTGGATCATAAATACGGAGGTTTCATGAGGAAATTACTCGTTTGGTTAAATCAGGAGGAAATAATATTCATTCATAACCGCGAGACGCAACCGGGACTGCGCATGCGCAACGTTCACACCCTCTCGAGAGGTGCACATGACTTCATCTGATAGAAAACCAACACATGGATGTTCCTACACATGTGAAACGTGATGGAGATGAAGAAGTAGATGTGAGATGTTGTGTACTAATGTAGTAGTGTGTATTCGTGTGTAGTACTCAGTCAGAGTAGCGTTACTATGGAGATATCTTTAACTTCATGAAATGTGTGTTGAGTTAAAATATGAAGTGATGTAATGGAAACTAAAATAGAAAGATAATGAGAGAAAGATTCACCATATTTGAGGCAGATGTTAAAAACATAATAGTGGTATTATTGTGTGAAGGCTGTATTTTGTACACAAAGATGTCCTAATACGTGAAAGAGTGATTAGCGATGTCGGTTTCTTCCTCAGTGACGATGGTGCAGAGCAGAGTGAAGGTGGAGACGTGAACACCTCCCAAAGATGGAGTCCTCTTACAACGCCGTAGAACTCCGGGTGCTGCGAGGGGAGGGAGGGGCCTCGGCGACCCGAACGGGGGCGCCAGTGGGCCGTGCTGCCCGGGGGTTCGAGAACGCCTCGTACCAGCAGGACGAGGAGCTCGAGCTCCGCCAGCAGGGGGCAACGCGGCCCACTGGTGGGGTGAAGGTAACCCTCGGCAACTGTGAGGTAACCGCTTCTTCCAACCAAACCGCTAATGTTAGCTGCTAACGAAAGCTGCTAACGAAAGCTGCTAACGATAGCTGCTAACCAGCAACCTCAAAAAGCGTCACTCCTTCTAGAAGTGTGTTCAGACACAAACAAGACAAGCGTTTAAATGAAGCGTAGGCGTAAATTCAGTCAGGAAGGCTGGAGAAGCTAACTTCTGCCCCGCGGCGCCTTTGTGGGAACCCTGTTCGGTTTGGGGGCGGAGGCACCGTTTCCGTAAACCAATCGCGTTTCTCCTCTGTTGCTGTTCGTGTCATTTCAGCAAGCGCCCTTGACACCTCCAATCAGCAGAGGAATCTGGCCTATCGAACGGTGGAGCAACTTATCTTCTACCACCACCAGTGTCTGGACTCCCAAAGGGCCCCTGGTCGATCCCACGGCTGGATCTCCAAGCCCAAACAAACTTTGCACTTTCAATACTTGTGCTTCTTTTAACAAATCATTGTTGCAAGTTCAAAGTCTCTGCTGATAACCCTGATTTAAATAAAGCAACGAATGTTTAAATAACCGGACGTAAAAAAAACTACATCGGAAAACGACAATGTTTGAATACCCCAACTTCTTCTTTAAAAACATGTCTGAATACAATAACGTAAAAATAGCATTGAACTTTGAAATGGAACATAGACAAATATAATGTTCCAGAGAAGAATAACGAGAAGATAGGAAGAGCAGAAGCTAGTCAGTCATGGAGGAAAACAACATTTACCTTCTGGGTGAAAATACCTCAGTTAACTCAGAGGGCGTGTCCTGCATTGAAGGCGCTAACGTAACAGAAGAGCTATCATTAGCAGCTAACGAGCAACCTACAAAAAAGGCGCAACACACTTCGAAAACATGTTCTTGTTGATTCTGAGTTGTGGTCCTTGACATCAGAGGAACAACCGAGGAACATCCAAGGAACACTTGAGGAACAACTGAGGAACAACTGAGGAACATCCGAGGAACATCCGAGGAACAACTGAGGAACATCCGAGGAACAACTGAGGAACACCCGAGGAACACTTGAGGAACACTTGAGGAACACCTGAGGAACATCTGAGGAACACTTGAACAACTGAGGAACAACTGAGGAACCCCTGAGGGACACTTGAGGAACAACTGAGGGACACCCGAGGGACACCTGAGGAACACCCGAGGAACACTTAAGGAACAACTGAGGGACACTTAAGGAACAACTGAGGGACACTTAAGGAACAACTGAGGAGCCCCTGAGGGACACCTGAGGAACACTTGAGGAACACTTGAGGAACAACTGAGCAACACCTGAGGAACACCCGAGGAACACCTGAGGAACAACTGAGCAACACCTGAGGAACACCCGAGGAACACCTGAGGAACAACTGAGGAATACTTGATTCACCGGTTCACATTTAGCACCGACGTGTATCTCAAAGATGAAGTGATTTCAAACAGCTCAGTGCCTCTTCTAACAAGAAATGAATAATATGATACATGATACTTGTTATCAATCAAAAGACTTCATCTTCGTTATTTGTTGTCTCTGTCTCAGGTGGAACAGCAGCACCAGGAGCTTTCTTCCCGGTCGTACGATGAAGAGGAAGGTGGGGGAGGAGGAGGAGGAGGTGGGGGGCGGGAGGACGCACCCGAGCCGTCTGCTGACTGCGGCCTGGTGCTGGCGCTGGTGTTCCTGGTGAGCGGCATCGTGCTGGTGCTGGTGGCCTACGCCATCCCCCGGGAGGCGGGGGCGGACCCCGACGCTGTGTCGGCCCGGCAGATGGAGAAGCTGGAGATGTACTACGCCCGGCTGGGGTCCCACCTGGACAGGTGCATCATCGCGGGCCTGGGCCTGCTGACGCTGGGCGGGATGTTCCTCTCCGTGCTCCTCATGGCCTCCCTCTGCCGGGGGGAGGTGCACCGGCACCGGGCGGCCTTCGTCCGGCCCAAGAGGACTTACGGCTCCGTCCACCTGAGCATGAAGCAGCTGGCGCCTGGAGAGGTGGGGGGAGGTGGAGGAGGAGGAGTAGGAGGGGAGGACGGAGTTGAGGACTTCCTGGTCGAGCAGAGCAGGGACTCCAAATCAGAACCAGGACCCAGCAGGAATCCTCCTGCCTCTGCTGCCTCGTCCTCCTCTTCAGGACTCGACTGACTTCCACACTGCCTCCGAAAGGGGGAGGCCACATGGAGCAGGTCTGCCAGGAGGACCAGACATGAGCACAAAGACGCCCCCCAGGAGCAGGGGGAGGAGCACGTTGCTGCTCACAGGTGGTGTATTGGTTGGTTGATCACATTTAAAGCACATGGTGGCTTACGAAGGTCGGAGGTCGCCGTATTTATCAGATTATAATATCCTAATATCCTTCAGAGGAAAGTGATGCTACTGATTTTTATTTTAATAACTAACAGAGAAAACGTTGTTGAATCATCTGACGTCCTGAAAGAAAAAACTAAGGGATTTAAACATTTAATGCTTCCAAGTTTGTGAAAGATTAAATGTTTAATGAAAGTAACTTTTTACATTAAGAAATACATTAATACAAAACAAATGAATCCAACAAACTCTCCTTGTTTTTATTATCAGTATCCCTTTCTAACTTCTTCTTATCCAGCTAGTTGCCATGCTACACGCTACATGCTACATGCTACATTATATGTGGACAGATTCAATTTATGTCTGTAAGGATTCAAAATGCCTTAAACTATGTAAACGCAAATATTCTTATGCTAATGTATCAAAGTCTGTATAGTGAGTCTGTTAGCCAAGGTTAGCGTAGCCACACACACACACACACAGCAGTAGCATTTACTCAGACTCGATGAATGTACACTTAGTTGACGGAGGCGGCGCCATCACGTAATATCACGATAACGATCACATGACTTCGGTGGTTGCCTCGGAAACACTAATGTATAAATAAGTGTCCTCTTTTTTTACTGTTATATCTTAAACGAGTTAATAGGTGTGTATTAAATAATAAAGGGATATTAAAGCAGGACTGTAACATCTTTAGCCTTCAAAATAAAAGCACGAACAAGAAAGTGAGACAAAGGTTTCAGTTTTAATGTGGGAAAATAAACATTTCCCATGAAATATGACTTTAAGAAACTCACGAGAATCACGTGATGCTTTAAAACATTTATGAAAAGTATGAATCACAGGATTCATGTGGAACAATCTTTCTGTGAATCTTGTATCAATCAATAAAAGTCAATGAAAGTAACTTTTAGCACATACATGAGGGAGTTTTTCTACGTTGTGTTTACTGTGGGCTGGTGGAATGAAATATGAATTAATATCTAGCTATTTTGCTATTTGGTGTAATGTACAATATTCCTGAGAGAAGTGACGTTTCCCTTTAATCTGAGTGAAAACCAGGGTCTCAAACATGAAGCAGGTTGTTTTAATATCAATGTCCAGAAATAGGAATTTATTGGTTCATTTGTCGCTTTAAGGGATTTATTTTTGCAAAGTTTGTTTTATAATCTAAAAATGTCCAAATAGCTCCATAAACCTCTTCATCATAATTCATTATGAATTATTAAAACTTGTCTTTAATGTAAGCCTTGGTTCAAGGGTGATTTTGTGACTTGAGTTTTATGACTTGATTCAATTTTAAAACAGAACCCTGGTTCCCTTCGCGCTGTAACTTGTGTACAATGTGTAACTGTGTTGGTTATAAATCATAATAAAGAGTTCATTTGTGGTGGTTACTTATTCATATTTAACACATCTTTACCCCTTTAAGAGAGAGAGAGAGAGGGAGAGAGAGCATTGTTGGACTGAAGGACTCCTCCACAGGAAAAGGGAGGACTGTCAGTCATGATTACAACGGGAGGGAACCTTTGTCTACACTCTGTAAAATGACTTCCTGGGATTCTGTCCTGATCCTGAACACAGGAAACCACCGGCCTTCTGTCCACTCACTCTGAACCCTATTTGAATTCATCATTCCTTTTTTTCTTATTTTTATGACTTATTCTATTTTTTCTTTTAGATAATTTTTTTATTTTATTTATAACAAATAACATGTATTTTTTCAAGCATTTCCTACTAGAGTAATATTTCTATGATTTTATAATATCTTTTGTAGTTGTAGTTTTTTTCAGAAATATTCCTTTTATGAAATTGTCATATTTTATTTATTTATGCTCCTGCATGTGCTAATACATCATGTAATACAATGAGTTTCATGACACTTTTCAACATACTACAGTACTTTTACTTTTGTCCCTCATGTTACAGTTTGAATTCATTTGCATTAAATTTGTGATTTTCGGTTTCTTTTCTCCATTTGCACATTTCACCCAGCGGGCGGAAAGGTGGAGCAGATCCAATCAGTTCTGTAATGGACGGCAGGGGGCGCTACATCACTGAGACAGAAGCTCCACTTCCTCAAATGACAGACCTGGGATCACGTGGTAATTACCCCCCCTGCCTAAAGGTGACCACTCATTTTAGCTTTATCAATCAAATTGAGTGTAAATTAATATTCGTTACGTTACATGAGCAGAATAAACGTGATAAATAAATCCCATTGAATGAAATATGAGCTAATGCTAACGCTCACACCAGAAGCGTGATGGGGGGCTTTTAAAGCTCTGAGAGACCACCGAGCGTTTCAACCACAGACCTCATGTCTCATAACCCTGAATATATTTAAGGTTATAGGTCATAAGGCCTTCTGTGTGAAGCTGCCCACCGGCCTACATAAGCCCCGCCTCCCTAAGCGCACAACCTCCCAGGGACACTCGTTGCATTGTGGGTAGCTCGGCCTCCCGGAGCTGAGGCCAAAGACAACAAACTGGAGCTGTGGAGACCTCTGCGTTACCATGGTTACGGAAAGGAAAGAGCCGCCGACCCTCGGCCTCTTTCCTGCCTCTCACTGAGTCCTTTGATGGCCCGTTTCAACATTTTGAAATAATTAAATACATAAAGTAGGAGGAATCAGAGCAGCTCCTCGGTTAACACATGAAAATCCCCAAAGCCCGACGTTTTATGGAGAAGGGACACGCAAACGACTTCTTTTACAGAAGAGGAACAGCTGAGCAGTGCATCTCGCACTCAGAGGATACATCCATGTGAAGAACAATGTATGAAGATCGGTATGTCCTCCATGTGGGAGGTACATAGGCAGCGCATGCTATGGTCCATTGGAGAATCTAGTCCAGGTCCAGTAGCCTTCTCCGCTTTCATCATTAGGGACCCGAAGGGTTTTCCCTCACCAGCCACCATCCGGCCAGAGGCCTCCACATTCCCCTCTTCACTGGTCTCAGGACCCTCTCCTCCTCACCCTCCTATGAGGGGGGCAGGAGGAAGGAGGCGCTCTCAGGGCTCCTCATCTCCGTCCTGTCACACGGAACTTCAAACCGAGAGATTACCAAGAAACACGGCGACCACGTGGCCACGGCGAGGAACGAGGAGCCGAATGAAAGGAGCTATTCTCTGGATGTCCTCTGCAGGAACACACCTCCATTCTTCTCCCAGAGCCTCCCCCCCTCCCCCTCCTCCTCCCTTACATCAAGAGTCCACCGACTGCAGGCTTCGCCCTCAACATCGTTACCACCAGAGACGAATAACGTATTAAAACCTCATTCCTCTTCATTCCTCTTTCCACTTGATTGTGATCAACGTTTAAGGTTTCATGAGCCGTTTTTCTTCCTCTGGATGGAACCTGTTGAACAGTGTCGTACCTGTATCAGCTTCTCTGTAATACCTCCTGAGCCGCATCCGGCAGCAGTCCCCGTAGTTACAATAGTCTAGAATGAATCACCTCCTGCTCCGTCCGTGCCTGGGAGGCCAAATTAAAAAGCCACCATGTAGCTCAGGAGCTACAGAACACGACCACTATTAAATAAAAAGATAAAACTCGTTACACGATACACAAGATGATAAAGTGAATTTATAACCCTTTAACACCTACACATGAGGGGGCTGAAGGGTTAATGTCTGTGGGGTTTGATGTAGTAGAATGAGGGGGGGGGGGCTGCAGGGTTAATGTCTGTGGGGTTTGATGTAGTAGAATGAGGGGGGGGGGCTGAAGGGTTAATGTCTGTGGGGTTTGATGTAGTAGAATGAGGGGGGGGGGGGGGGGGGCACCCACCAGGGCCCCCACTACATTACAGTGGCATAAAGGAGCCTACTGTCCTCCCCCCGCCCGTTTCAACACAATCCTTCCTCCGGCATGTCATCACCTCGGCATCATGCTGATGGACAGGCAGCGGGGGGGGAGGAGGGCGGAGGGGGGAGGAGGGGGATGAGGGGGGGGGGCATCTGGATAAGAGAAGGAACGGCTGCCACACATCCTGAAGATGTTATTAACATCTCCAAGCAAAGCAGGGAAAAAAAGTCAGCCATCCAAATGTCCCCCCCGACCCCCGACCCCTGACCCCTCAGAGACTCACTAAGGTCACCTAGTCAGTGTGAGTCTGTGAGCGCTTTAAACGTTGTAAATATGAAGGGACAGGCTTTGCTGCCACACGTCACCATGACAACGACTGTCATTTCATACTTTACTGGGGGTTACACTCTGCTGGTGGTGCTGATGGTGCTGATGGTGCTGGTGGTGCTGGTGGTGCTAGTGGTGCTGATGGTGCTTCGCCCTTCGGTTTGATACGGGGAGGAATTCCTCTGCACAGTTCTTCTGTTTGTTTTACTTCCGATACAAAAAGCTTCATGGAGAAAAAGATGCAATCAACTATTGTATCACATTAATCTGAACCACAATAATCTCATAGATTAACAGGTTAACTTTGGCAGCCCTGGTACATATATATATTTATATATATACACATATAAAAACTCCCACCAACATGACAGCATACCAACATATAATCGTATATTACATTTTATTAAATTTACATCAACAGGAAAATTAGTACATACAAATAGAAGTACATACAAAACCCTTTACCTGTAATGTGCAATTTAGAATTTTATTTTATATTATCCACTTTCCGATGGTGATAAGACCATTAAAATGAAAAAAATATTATGAAAAGAAAATGAAGGGACATTTAAAATAAATAAAAATCTGCGATGAATTATGATTCATTTTGAGTTAACTTTGACATAAATGTGATAAATTGTGATTAAATATTTTAATCGTTTGAGAGCACTAATATATACGTATATATACACTATACATACACATACACTATATATACACTATACATACACATACACTATATATACACTATACCTACCCCATAATACACTATACATACACATACACTATACATACACATACACTATACATACACATACACTATATATACACTATACATACACATAATACACTATACATACACATACACTATATATACACTATACATACACTATACATACACATACACTATACATACACATACACTATACATACACATACACTATACATACACATACACTATACATACACATATACTATACATACACATACACTATAAAGACACATACACTATATATACACTATACATACACATACACTATACATACACATACACTATATATACACCATACATACACAAAATACACCATACATACATTATACATACACATACACTATACATACACATACACTATAAATACACTATACATACACCTACACTATACATACACATACACTATACATACACATACACTATACATACACATAC